AAAAAAAAAGAGCAAATCTGAGGCTTGCCTGAAGAAAGTTGACCTTTGGACAAATAGCAGCTTCAGTCTCTGCCCTTCCTGATGATCTGCTCTACAGATTTTTGGGTTGTTTAGTAAGCCCCCACAATTGTGTACACCAATTTCTTGCAATAAAACGTATGCATGTGTGTACATAAAAAAAAAAAAAAAAAAAAAAAAAAACCCCTATCGGAGTGCTGTCTGTTATCATATGCACTGCCAACCTGACCCTATATGAACTCGTTGGGCAGCAATCAAAAGCACTGGTTGACTCTCTGATTTCCCTGTTGTATCAGAATTGAAATGAACCAATTTGTAGATGATGCATTCACAGCTTTTGTACTCTGAAAAAAGGGCCAAATCATTACAAGAATTGGACGTCCTATGGACCAGATTCAGAGACCAGGAGTCAAAGTTCCATAGTTTTGTGGGAAGAGCTACTGAAATTAAAGCAGGAGGGAGAGAGAGAGACAGGTTCGGTATAGTAGCTATGGAGAGCTCTGCTCCCTCCCTTTTACTCAGTGTCCGCAAATCTCTCTGCCCTCTGCAAACTTCTCTCAGTGCAAAGTTCCACAAGACAGCTACTCTTATCCTGGGCAACTTGTGAGATGCGCTTGCAATGTGGCCTCAGCTGGAATTTCCATCACTGGAACTGAGTTGTGGCTGCAATCTCATACTCTGATTGTAGGTTCTCTGCAAACTGTAAGTCAGGGCTGTGTGAACAACCGTGGACTCCATGAGGTACAGGCGGGCTTAGTGGTGAGAAGTGCCTTTGTGCTTTTAAAAGTGGTAAGCTTGGGGGCCTCCCTGGTGGCGCAGCGGTTGAGCACCGCGCTGCGAAGCTGTCTGCAGCCTCTGCAGCACCGTTTCGATTCCCCTCCAGCCAGGGAGAACCCCACATGGTGCAGCAGACCTCTCCTGCCTCACCTGCTGCTCCCCTCAGCAGTGTCTTAGCTCCGTCTGCCTGGTCTGCTCCCCACTCTGGCACTGGTGAATTCTCTCACCCTCCCACGCTTCTGACCTGTACACCAGTTCTTGTATAAAATCAATAAATAAATCTTCAAAAAAAAAAAAAAAGTGGTGAGCTTCAGCCACTGCGGATGGGACACAGCATGGCCCCGGATTCATTCTTCCACTGAGAAGCTGTGAATGAGACTTCATCTTGAGACTGTGAGGCTTCAGGGTCCTACTGGTTAAGGTACCACAATCAGTGCACCATTGGGATCTACTGACAGTAGATCTGTAGAATGCTGAATGCCGGCATGGCATCTGTTCAGCAAGGTTGCGGACAGAGGAAGTCCTGGAGGCAGCACCTTCCAGAGCCAAGAGGGAGGATCAAACCCAGCTAATTTCCTTGCTCAAATAGCTAGGGTATGATGCAGGCTGGGCCCTGCCTGCCAGGTTTTCTTGTGGGGAGGGGGGGGGGTTGTGCATGCTATCTCTTGCACTGACTTGCTGCAGAGACAGTTTGAGTCACAGGACCACACCTGCCTGGAAACGTGTGTGGTTCATCAGAAGCAGGAAGTTTTATAGTTATTGAAAATGATTCCCTGGGACTAAATGACAGATAGGCACTTGCCTGGCAAAACACCACTTCATTCACCATGCTTGTACCCTCAACAGACAGGACTGATGCCTGCTGTGTGGCTGGCAGGATGATTCAGCCAGGGATGGCATTAGAATGCTCAACACATTGAAAGACTCGCAGACTACTTGCTTCTCGGTGCCATCTGTGGCATGTTTTGGTTTGGAAGGACAACTTGCTTACTGATGAACATTTCCAAAGTCTTTTGAGCTAAGTGGTTTTTGTAAATTCTTGTCTAGACCATTCTGCATTTTGAGAAAGAAGAAAAGATGACTTCCACATCATTGATTTTTAAAGTGAACTCTAGTTCTTTTTTTTTTTTCAAAATTTATTTATTTATGCATACAAGAGCTGGGGTACGGGCCGGAGGTGGGGGTGTGTGTGTGTGTGTGTGTGTGTGTGTGTGTGTGTGTGTGTGTGTTCGTGTGTGTGTTCACCAGAGACGGAGAGGGGAACAGAATAGGCAGATTGAAATATACTGCTGAGAGGAGCAGCGGGTGTGGCAGGAGAGGTCTGCTGTGCTATGTGGGTAGCTCCATGGCCGGCCAGGGATTGAACTTGTGCTGTAGAAGCTGTGGATTGCTGTATAATGCTGTGCTCAACCTCTTGCGCCACCAGGGAGGCCTGAACTCTAGTTCTTATGGGTGCTTTGCTGCTTTGAGCCCATGGAGCGAGTGGTTGCACTGCATAAATTTCAGGGTCACAGGCAGTAGGGCCAGGACTGCTCACTGCCATTCATGCTTGGTGTGTGCTGCTCCTGGGATAGCCTGGCATGGGGCAGGCTCTAGTGCCAGCATTTACCAAGTGACTCAGGGGAGTTTTGGGGGTGCCTGAAGCCTCTGCCGCAGCAAACTAAACCACTTGCTATTATGTGTGTGTGTTTGGGGCTGATGGGGGGTGGTCTTCCTGATTCTAGGGCACCCCTGAAAGGTTAAGGCCACTTAGAGACATTCTGAAGGTGTTCTCAGTCATGCAGCCACTGGCCCTGTGTGGTTTCAAGGAGCTCTTTGTAACATGTACACTTCCCTGCTATGACAGAGTGCCAGTGTTGCCCACCCAGTTAAATTACCGGCCAGGCCAAGTGTGGTAGGAAGGCCTTTGCCAGGTAAGTGTGAGGACTTGTTCCACTGCCTTCTAGCTGCATGATGAACCTGGAGCTGTATTCCCTTCCAGATCCTCAGTTTATCTGTAATGTGGAGTTGGGGAATGGAAGGCAAGAAGGCTTGGCCCCTGGGCACACAGCAAGGGGTAGTCCTTTCTACGTGAGGCAGGTGTTCCTAGCCCACTGCCCATCATTGCCAGGACCTTGTGGAGTCCTGGATTTTCCCCTTTGCCACCATGACTGCACATGTACAACTTATTTACAAAGAGATTGGCGATTTCAAGTAAAACAGGAATCCTTGATGCATGGAGGAAAGGGAGCAATGACTGAAGGACTCAGAGACGCTTGGGTGTCATGGTTCCTCAGTTCACATTGGCCGGAAATCCCCCAGAGGTGCTGATACGCAGGGCTAGGATTTACCTCCAGAAACCACTGAAATAGGGGTAGGTTGAGGTTGTCCTGGTGGGTCTACCCACTGCACTTACTCTAGTTCTGCATGCAAATCCAGGGCTAGACCCACAATCTGATGCACAGAAACCTGTGATGAGTTTCAGTTATTTTTTTTTCCCAAGTGTGTGTATTTTTTTTCAAAGTTAGTTTTTTTGTTTTTCACTTTTTTTTTTAAAGGTTTATTTATTTATGCATACAAGAGCCGGGGTGCAGGCCAGAGATGTGTGTGTGGGGTGTGTGTGAGAGGATTCGCCAGAGAAAGAGTGGGGAGCAGAACAGGCAGATCTACTGAAATACACTGCTGAGGGAAGCAGCAGGCCAGACAGGAGAGGTCTGCTGCGCCATGTGGGTCACCTCCCTGGCTGGGGATTGAACTTGTGCTGCAGTGGTTGTGGATTGCTTCATAGTGCTGCTCTTAACCCCTTGCACCACCAGGGAGGCCCCCGAGTATATGGTTTTAAAAATGATTCTACTGTGGGCCTCCCTGGTGGCGCAGGCGATTGAACGCAGTGCTGTGAAGCTGTCCGCAGCCTCTGCAGTGCCGGTTCGATCCCAGCCAACCACGGAGATACCCACATGGTGCGGCAGACCTCTCCTGTCTCACCCGCTGCTCCCCTCAGCAGTGTATTTCAGTCTGCCTATTCTGTTTCTTGCTCTGGCTCTGGTGAATCCTGTCACCCTCCTGTACATCTGGCCTGTACCCCAGTTCTTATATAAATAAATAAATCTTAAAAAAAAAATTCTACTGGGCTTCCCTGGTGGTGCAGGCAGTTGAGTGCAGCGCTGTGAAGCTGTCCGCAGCCTCTGCAGCACGGGTTCTATTCCAGCCGGCCAGCAAGAATCCCACATGGCGCGGCAGACCTCTCCTGTCTCGCCCACTGCTCCCCTCAGCAGTGTGTTTCGTCAGTCTGCCTGTTCTGTTCCCCACTCTGTCTCTGGTGAATCCTCTCACCCTCCCACACATCTGGCCTGTACCCTGATTCTTGTATGCATGAATAAATGTCTTTTTTAAAAAAAATTACTACCGTCTTGTAGGCAGGCTTTCTGAGACTGAGAGGCCAATGGTGTAGATTTCAGAATGTGGTCACAAGGCAGCATGGCCCAGCCATGGTGAGCAGCCTAGGATGTGGGAAGAGGTCCTGAGCAGCTGGGTTATATGTTTCAGGGGAGGTCACAGGCTCAAAGCTCACAGGCGTGCAGGTGTGTGCCTGATTTCCCCTCTTGGGTCTCCAGTCTAGGATCTGAAAGCACTCCATTCTACCAGTGGTAACTGTGGAGCCTGCATCTGGGACCACCTACTGACTTTCTACCCCTTTCTTGAGAGATAAAGAGGCCAATGAATAGATGACCAAGAGCGATTCATGGGAAGTCATTATTGGTAGAAAGAAGAGACTGTTCTTGGGCTCACTAACTGTTAAGGAAATACGAATCAATTTGAATTTATGGAAGGAGCCTTAATGAGAATATGAGATGCTCCTGTACACAGATGTCCCTAGTATGAGTTCTGCCCGTCTTGGGAAAGCTGATTGCAGGTGGTTTTGAAAGGTATGTGAGAACTGCCAAAGAATCCTGACAGAGATGTCCAAAGGAGAAAAGGGTACACCAGTTCCTGATCAAGGAGGCTGTGTGTGACCTGGGCAGCCAGGAAAACTATTCCCAAATAGCTGCTTGAAGGCGCATGAGCCCAGAGGCTCCCCTCACTCCTGACAGGAATAGAGGATATCTGTATGTGTGTTTATGCAGACAGTTACCCCAAGGGACCAGAAATGCTAAAGACAGGTGTCTTTCATGGTCAGTGACTGAAGTGGCTATTTAGGTGGATTGTGTCGGCTGGTCACAGTCTGGTTCTTCTTTCTGGCATCCTCTCTCCTTATATGTCTTCGATTGGATCTTCCAGGGTTCCTACAGTGCTGGGACCTTCAAGCCCTGGGAGCCCCCTCTCTGTAGGCATGCCTGAGACCCACCTACCTCCCTGCCTCAAGGGCTTTGTTGTGGGCTTTGCAGGCCTAGAACCTAGATGGGAGGTACCTTGGCCACATCAGACCCTTTTATTGGAGGAATATGAAGTCTGCTGCTCCTGTAGAGAGATTAGTAAGGTAGGATCCCCAAGTCCACAAGGCAGCCTGGTCTGGTACTACCCAAGGTGTCTGCCTGTCAAGTATGATGGGAACCAGGAATAAGGGTCAGCTTCTGGTTCCTGAACTCACAAGGAATGCCTGGGTAGTGATCCCCATACAGCACTCAGTACTCTCCCATAAGGGCCTACGTGGGGTGGTAGGTGGTAGGGCAGGATAAAGCCAGCGGGATTAAGCCTGCAGCACAGGACTAGAACTTCTAGACAGCACTAGTTCTCGACAGCACTAGTCTAGAACTTCTGGGCAGTCAGGCCAGAACGGGGAGGCAGAAGACACATTTTCTGCCAAGTCAGAGCACCAAACTTCCTCAGAGCTAAATGCCTCACTGTGTACACTCAGGAACCAAGCCAAGGGGGTTTGCATGAGCACAGACCTTCCCCAACCCCACCCCACTTAAGGAGGATCTTGGAGTGTGCTCTGGCCCCTGTGATGTCTGTTGTACCAGTCCCCAGCTTTACCCAGGTGTTGTGTCTCCCCCCTCTGTCTGGCAGCAGGACGGTGCCTACAGCACCTGCTCAAGAACAAGGACACTTCGTGCCGCCAGGATTGTTCTGCGGGGACTGCTGGCTCAGGAGTGTGTGGGGACCCAGGGCTCTAAATATACCATGGTGAGGTCACTGGGGCAGAGACAGGCCACGTGGCAGGCCCAGGATCCCATTAGGCCAGCATCCCAGGGCTAGGGGCAAGGGAGCAGGTGGCCTCACTGCTCCCACTGGCCTGACCTCACTGCTCCATCTCCCCCTGCCTGGAATCCCTGCCCATGTCACATTAGATTATAGGCACATGGAGGAGGGACTATATGTCCCCTCAAATCACATCACATGGATGTTTGCGGACACAGCCCCGAAAGGACATCACAGGCAAGTTTTTGTTGGCTGAGGTACCAGTTGGGGGATCCAAGTTGGTACCAGTTGGGTGAGGGAGGAGGGGGATGTCACTGTCATTGATCCCAGGGGAGATAGGACTGGAAGAGGGTGACCCTGCAAGTAGAGCAGATAGAAGAGTTGAGGGTACACATGCTAGCAAAATGACAGCCTCAAGGATGTTTGTTTACAGACCCCAGAACCTGGGGCCATGGCACATATATGGCAGATACAAGGTGTGGACCTGGACTGTCCAGACTAGGAGAGCAGAGACCCTTTCCTGGCTGGACCCTAGTCCCACAACAAGGAAATGAATGCTATCAACACTAACACCTGGGGCAGGAAACAGAGCCTCCCAAAAGGAAGGCAGAGTGCTGATGCTTGGATCTCATCCATTGAGACCCCAACCATCCTCCTGACCTCTAAAATCCAAGATGACATGTGTGTCATTTAAGTCTCTGGCTTGTAGTCATTTGGGCAGTAACAGAAAACTAGTATCCCAGAGTGCTGGTAGGGGATGTGGGAGTAGTCATACTGGGGGCAGTCACAGTCGTGGCCTTGGGACTGACAGCCCTTTGAGCTGCTGTGTGTTAGCCTGTTATACTGGTGCCCATTGTGATGACAGCCTTGTGTCCCCTCGTACAGTGCTGCACAGGTGGGGCCCTCCGCCATTAGAAGGCTGAGCAAAGTGAGAAGGCTAGTGATATTGCGCCTTTCTAATGTTAAGTGTGAGGGCAAGGTAAGATGAGGTTTTGTTTTGATGTGTGGTAAGTGTATCCACAAGCTGGTGTGTGCAGACTTGGATATGTAAGGAAAATTTTTGTAAGATACACAGAAATGTCACAGCAGCTAGTTGAATAGTCACCTATGCCTCTCAGGCCATTAGGATTTGTATTGTGCCAGTGGGGAGAGGAGAGGTGCTTCTTCCAGTCAGCCGCTTAGACACCTGCAGTTGCTGGGGATGTGAACTGAAAGGCTATTATTCCAGATCTTTCACTGGGATACTTTTCACACTTCCTAGCAGGCTGAAGCTGCCTCTTCATCAGTGCTATCTTGTGTGAAGAAGCAGAGACTCTTAATTTTGATGAAGCCTGATGTTGGTATTTTTTCTTGTATAGTTAATGCTTTGGAGCTTTGTCTTTGTCTACCCCAAGGTTGCAAAGATGATATTCTGTTTTTTTTTTTTTTTTTTTTTTTAATTTTCTAGAGGCATGTCTTATTTATTTATTTATTTATTTATTATTTGTTTGTTTGTTTGGTTTATACATGCACTGGGTACAGTCAGAAGCGCGTGAGGGCGAGAGAATTCACCAGAGCCAGAGCGGGGAGCAGAGCAGGCAGAAGGACCGAAGTACACTGCTGAGGGGAGCAGCGGGCGGCAGGAGAGGTCTGCGCGCCATGTGGGACCCTCCTCCGGTGGCCGGGGAGCAGCCGGGAATCGAACCAGCGCCGCAGAGGCCGCGGGCAGCTTCGCAACCCAGCGCTCAACCGCTGCGCCACCGGGGAGGCCCTGTTTTGTTTGTTTTTTAAGAAGTCTGAGAGTTTGGGTTTTCACATTTAGATCAGATCTGTGATTCATTTTTGACTAAATCATGTATGTTCTACTACTTGGTGTAAATGAAATCACACATTATATATTCTCTGTGACCTCACTTGTCCTGGTTTGACCTTCACCTTGTTGGAGCACAGGAGCTGTAGTTTGCTCATATCTGTTGCTGTTGAATTTCTTGGACTCTTTCTTTACCTTTTGGGAGACTTGGGTGTCCTTACATTTGACCACAACCTTATGCCATCACCTCTCTGTAAAATGATAATAGTATCTCTCTACCGGGTTATCAGTGATGATTACACATGGTAGTGAGAGATGGAAACATGCATTGTCACCCAACATAGCTCATGTTGACGTTCACCTGACAAAGTCCATTGCCCTGAGAGCTGACTGAGCTCCAGCTCTATCAGGTACTGTCAGCACCCCTGCAAGGTAGGGGTATTTCCACGTGTGCACTGTGGGAGGGGTCTGCATTTCCTGATCACTAGGATGAGTGCCATGCTATGGTTGGATTGGCCTGTTGGTGTCTCTGGGCCTGTGTTCCAGACAGGGCCTGAAGCACTGGTCTTCTACTTTGTGACTTTTTTGCCCATTATCATACTTTGATGAACTCTACAGGTCTTGTGAACCTAACCAAATTGATTAGGTTACAATATCCCTCTTTTAAGCTTGGTACTTTTTGACAAATCCTTTAGCCCCTCCAACCTGTACCCTGTTACATGGCAGAACAGAATATATCTCTATATCTCCCATATCCAGAGCAGACCTTGTTTCATAAATGTCCTTAGTTGCAGTTGACAGTCACACATGTGGGTGGTAAACTGCACACCCTGCACTAGAAGTGAGCGGGAGGAAGAGACTAGAGCTGGCTGGGATGGGGGAATGGCAAGGGTCTGACAGGTGACTCTTGTTTTGCAGATCCGGAACATGGTGGCGGTGCTGGAAGTCATCTCCAGCCTGGAGAAATACCCCATTACCAAAGAGGCACTGGAGGTTAGTGTATGGGGGTCCTGTAGGAACTGGGCAGCTTTAGTTCTGGAGTCTGGCCTATTTTCTTTGCAGGAGCCTGGCATGTTTGTGGGAGAAGGGAGTGGATGAGAGAGCATGTCCATGCAGGTGATAGTGAGTGATGGCCCAGGGTACTCTTGTTTGTTGTTGCCTTCCACAGTGTGTTCTCACCCAGAAAATATTTCTAGCAAAGCATCCTTGCAAGTAGCCTTGGTAGAATGGTGCTTCTGAAAGGCTGCCCATGGCCCCAGGACCCTAAGGTCCAAGGATGAGACTTTAGAATTTGGATTCCACATAGCATCCCAGAACCCCATAGGTTTTATTTTGGGCCTCAGTGTTCGTGTCTTGATATCTCTTTCTCTCTCTCTCTCTCTCTCTCTCTCTCTCTCTCTCTCTCTCTCTCTGGTTGTAGGAGACACGACTCGGGAAGCTCATCAATGATGTGCGCAAGAAAACGAAGAATGAAGAACTCGCCAAGCGGGCCAAGAAGCTGTTGCGGAGCTGGCAGAAGCTTATTGAGCCTGTGCACCAGAGTGAGGTGGCACTGCGAGGCTTAGCAGGCACTGCTGGCTCAGCCAATGGGGGTGCGCACAACTGCCGGCCGGAAGCAGGGCCAGCTGGCACACCCAAGAGCATCCATGATCTGAAGAACCGCAATGACATCCAGCGTCTGCCTGGGCAGCGACTGGACAGGCTGGGTAGCCGCAAACGCCGAGGGGACCAGCGTGATCTTGGCCATCCTGGACCACCGCCCAAGGTCTCCAAATCGAGTCACGACTCCCTGGTACCTAACTCATCCCCCCTCCCCACCAATGGGATCAGTGGGAGCCCAGAGAATTGCCCTGGCCCCTTGGACGGCAGTGGGCACTTGGGCCCTGAGGGCAGCCATCTGGAACCAGGTGAGAATGATAAGCATGGTGGCAAGATCCCTGTTAATGCTGTGCGGCCGCACACCAGCTCCCCGGGCCTGGGCAAGCCCCCGGGTCCCTGCTTGCAGACAAAGGCTGCGGTGCTGCAGCAGCTGGACAGGGTGGATGAGACTCCTGGACCCCCATATCCCAAGGGGCCACCTCGTTGCTCTTTTAGTCCCCGGAACTCACGGCACGAGGGTTCCTTTGCCCGGCAGCGGAGCCCCTACACACCCAAGGGCTCTGTGCCCAGCCCCTCGCCACGGCCCCAGTCGCTCGATGCCACTCAGGTGCCATCACCACTTCCGCTGGCTCAACCATCTACACCCCCTGTACGGCGGCTTGAGTTGCTGCCCAGCACGGAGAGCCCAGTGCGCTGGCTGGAGCAACCAGAGGGCCACCAGCGGCTCACAGGAATGGGCTGCAAGACAGGACTCTCCCTAACTGAGCCCCTCCTGACCCGAGCAGGCTTCTCCCCAGACTCTTCCAGGGCAGACAGCGACGCTGCCTCCTCTGGTGGCTCAGACAGCAAAAAAAAGAAGAGGTACCGGCCTCGGGACTACACGGTGAACTTAGATGGGCAGGTGGCTGAGGCAGGCGTCAAGCCTGTCCGGTTAAAAGAGCGGAAGCTCACCTTTGACCCCATGACGAGACAGATCAAACCTCTGACCCAGAAAGAGCCAGTGCAAGCCGATAGCCCTGTGCACACGGAACAGCCCAGGACAGAGCTGGACAAACCCGAGGCTAAGGCCAGCCTCCAGAGCCCTTTTGAACAGACGAACTGGAAGGAGCTGTCACGAAATGAGATCATCCAGTCCTACCTGAGCCGGCAAAGCAGCCTGCTCTCATCGTCGGGTGCACAGACCCCGGGCGCTCACCACTTCATGTCTGAGTACCTGAAGCAGGAGGAGAGCACCCGGCGTGGGACCAGGCAGACACATGTTCTGGTGCCGCATGACCCGCCCACCGACCTCCCGGGGCTGACCCGGGAGGTCTCACAGGACGATCTGAACCGAATCCAGGCCCACCAGTGGTCTGGAGTAAACGGTTGTCAGGACACACAGGGTAACTGGTATGACTGGACGCAGTGCATATCGCTCGACCCGCATGGCGACGACGGGCGGTTGAACATTCTGCCTTATGTCTGCTTGGACTGACCGGCTCTCAGCCTCCAAGTGTATTCCCACCTTGCAGTTAGCCATGGCATGTGGGTGGGCAGGTGGGCAGGGCCCAGCCGCCTCAGGTGGTTGGGAATTCGGCCTAGGCAGGAGGGAAGGGACTAGGGTCTCCAGGTCTCGCTGAACTCTTCCCTCAAAATTCTCCTTCTTTTGTGAAATGCTGCTACCAGTTTACTAACAATTGCAAAGGAAGGATCGCCTGGAAGGAAGGCCGACAAAGTGAGTTAAGAACTCTATAGCAAGCCAGCTATAAAAAGCGTTGATCCCCCACCCAGAAGAGGTGTGGACACCCCAGCACCCACATGCTGGGACCCCAGTTGCAGGCAGGCACAGAAAACCTGTGGGAGGTCATCTTGAACATGGCAACAGAAGCACGTGTCTCATCTATATGCGGTTTCTATTTCTCAATCTGAGCTGAGGCAGGGGGCATGCCACCACCTGTTTGCAGCCCACATGGCATTGGGTAGGCCAGCTGGCCAGCCAGTTTGACCCTTACTCCACCGCATCCACACATTTCTTTTTGGTTTCATTTAAAGCCCAGTTTTAAAGCAATGCTGCAATAATTTAAGTTTTCTAGAGTTTATTTTATCCTCCTTTTCCATCTGACCACAAGCCAAATAATTCCCTCTCCCCTTTTTTCCCTCTTTCCTGCACTTATCTAGAAAAGGTCACCTTTCTAGAGCCCCCTCCCCAAAACACAAAAGTAACTGGGTGCTACTGGTATGTTGAGCTCTACTATTGATGAGAGAATTTGTCTGTATGCTGGAAATACTCATAACCATTCCTTTAGATTTGTTTGCCTTATGGTTATTTGTCATAAACGCGATTTGCAAAAACAAGGAGCCTTAGTGAATGTACAGTACCTAGACTTCTGTGTTCTCAGGACGCGGAAGGAAGCAACTTTGCTATTTGGTCCAGTAAGTGGACATCTTGTGATATAAATGTGGAAATAAAAAAACCCATTTGCACAAATCGGTCTGAGAATCATTTCTGATTTGGTCCTTTACAGCCAGATCGGCCCTCTGAAAGATTCTGAATTAACTAAGGAGGCCTGGGACCCATGTCCAAAGTTTGGGCCCCCCATGCAAGCAAAGCCACATATAGGAGCATAAGCCTTCTAAGTGGAAACTGATATTCACCTGCTTTTATTCATTCATTCATTCATTCATTCATTGAGGGCCAAGTGCTATCTCTGTCTCTCTCTCTCTGCCTCTCGGTTTCCTGCTAACATTGGGTGAGAGATTGAGTGGGCTCATCAAAAAAATCATCTTGTCTATCCATACCTCAGCTGCCACAAAAAATCCCTGCCAATCACCTTCCATGACCCAGTAGCTGTCTTATCCCCACAATATATGTAGTTTTGGTGTCTGGGTGGGGCTATTTTTTTTTTAAAGATTTATTTATGCATACAAGATCAGAGGGACAGGTCAGAGTTGCAGGGTACAGGTCAGAGGTGCGTGGGGTGAGAAGATACACCAGAGAGAGTGGGGAGCAGAACAGGCAGATCTACTGAAATACTGTCGAGGGGAGCAGCGGGTGAGGCAGGAGAGGTCTGCTGCACCACGTGGGTTGCTCCCTGGCCGGGAATCGAACTTGCGCTGCAGTGGCTAGTATAGCTTTTACGGCGTTGTCTTTAACCCCTGCGCCAACCAGGGAGCCCCCCACCCCAGGTGGGGCTAATTTTAAATAGAGCTTTTCCCCCTAGACTATAAAGTCTTAATTCAAACCCCTTGTCCCTGGAATAGGTCATCTTGCCTATATATACTTAATTTCACTAATGAGGAAACAGCTACCCCTTAAGAGGGGCAGCTCCCCTGGGTAAACCAAGGAGTTCAGGGACAGTCTATCTGGAACTACAGTTTTAGCACAAGACATAGCCTTAGTGTAGGACACACCCATCTCAAGAAAGGCCGGTGAATTAAGGGACTTTGAGGACTGTGGACCTGCCATCTGAAAACTGACTTGGACAATCAATCAATCCTGTACATCTCTCACAACTTGGGAAACGCAGAATTGTGAGGACTAAGTTAAATCATGTCAGTAGAATCTTGTGCTATGCAGTAAGTAGTTACTTTTCTAACCTCACTGTCCTGTTTGCTCACCTTAATGTGGGTGAGATATCTTGCCCAGCGGTGCTGACATGCATTACTTTGAGTTTTAGGGACAGTTGAAGATGTTAGTATAGCATCAGGCCAGCATCCTGTGAACATCCTTTCTCAGAGGTGGGCTTTGGCTCAGATGGTTGCTCCCAGTCCCCACAGGCAGGAACCATCTCTCTGCTGGAGTCTACAGTGCCCCAGGGTACAGAGACCACCTGTCTGAGAACACAGATTTGGTTGATTGCTCCCCAACATTTTGGGGATCAAGTTAGGTTGCCACTTTTTAATTTGCCGAGTAAGGACATGTAAAAGGTAACTTTAACACCCCCCCCCAAAAGTTAGAAGTGCATGATATTGTTAAAACCGTTTAAGTAGTGTAAGATGATCTTGCTGAAAATAACCAAGTCTTGCTTTCCTTCGCTTAGTCTGTTTTCATTCCTTTATATATATATTTTTTTTTTAATTTTTTTTTTAATTAAGTGCCGCTGCTTTACATCCTTTTTAGTATTTTGACAGTATACGGTTTCTCCCAAGTGTGGTCACCGTAGCTCCATGGGCAACGGCAGGCAGTGCGGCACTGCCCTTTTGTTGCAGACTCCAAAGAGGGTGCCATGGTCGGGCTTCCCAAATTGTCCGGCGGGACTAAGCCAAGTCGCGTCCCTTCTCTGGGCTTAGATGTGTCCCTCTGTGAAACTGCACACGGCGTTCCTAGAACGAGTTCCGGGGGCCGGCGCTCTGGTTGGCCCCTGGATGGGAGTCTGTTCGTTCCCTGTTTGCAGAATCAGCCTATAGGGAGCCTCGCACAATTTGGTGTCTCTTCCCGAAAACTCTTTTGTCGTTTACCTTCGGCAGAAATCTGGTTTTTGGGTGCCAGTATAGCGCGGACACCGAGGTCCCACCCGCCAGCTCGACCGCACGTTGAGGTCAGCGTCCCACAGCCCACAAAACTCCCGAGAGCCCCCACCCTCCGCTTCCGCAATAGACTCCGCCCCACCGGAAGCCCACCCGATGGAGGGCGGGTCCTGCCCTTGTACGTGATGGACGGCGCGTCGGCCGGCGCGCGGCGGTGACGCTTCGCAGCGTCAACCAATGAGAAGCGGCGTCGGCCGGCGTGCCCGCCCCTCCCGGCCACGCCCCCGCCCGGCGTCTGGCAGTCCGACGGGCGGGAAGAAGCGGCCCTCGGGAAGGATGGCGGCGGCGGCGGGCGCTGGGGGCCCGGGGGCGGCAGGCGGTGGTGGGGCGCGCGAGGGCGCGCGGGTGGCCGCCCTGTGCCTGCTGTGGTACGCGCTGAGCGCGGGCGGCAACGTGGTGAACAAGGTGATTCTGAGCGCCTTCCCGTTCCCCGTGACCGTGTCCCTGTGCCACATCCTGGCGCTCTGCGCGGGGCTGCCGCCGCTCCTGCGCGCCTGGCGCGTGCCTCCCGCGCCGCCGGTGTCGGGCACCGGGCCCGGCCCGCACCAGTCGCCCGGCCCGCTACTGCCGCCGCGCTTCTACCCTCGCTATGTGCTTCCGCTCGCCTTCGGCAAGTACTTCGCGTCCGTGTCTGCGCACGTCAGCATCTGGAAGGTCCCCGTGTCCTACGCTCACACCGGTGGGTGCCGGGCCGCGCTGCCCGGGGCTTCGGCACTCGGGTAGGAGTGCACCGGCGGGAGTGCGTCTGGAAGACGCTGCGGGTTGCGCTGGCTTTTATCAGGGGAGGGCCACACACAGGGGTCTTGCGGAGAGGAGGTGCTGGGAAGGGGCCTGGGAACTGAGCTGGCGCATCACAATTGTGGGGTGGAGCGGAGGGAACTCGCACTTAAAGGAAAGGGCTGAAGAGGTTGGAGGCTCTGTCAAGTCCTCCCACCCCGCGGTAGAGTTGGACAGGCTCCCAGGTTGGATCCCTGAGCGCCCTTTACCTTTCTCTGCAGTCAAGGCCACCATGCCCATCTGGGTGGTCCTCCTGTCCCGGATCATCATGAAGGAGAAACAGAGTACCAAGGTAACCCAGGAGGGCTCTGGGCAGGTGATTCTAAGGGCTTTCTGAAAGATTGTTACCCAGGTGGTGACGTGGTCCAGGCTACTTGGCTTCCTGTCGAATAAGGAAGTCAGTTTAGAGGCTCCTGGTGGCCCTTTTGCTGTTGATGTTCTAGAATCTCCCTGGGGGCAGTAGTGTGTGCGGTGTGTGTCCCTTTGTTGTCTCTGCTATGTGGTCTCAGGGAACTTCACAAGTCCAGCTTTCCTGCCTGTTTTGATTCCTTGCCTGGGCTTGCTGGCCATGGATGACCAGGTCCCATCTTGGGCAGGCACCATAAGCCCCTCCAATATGACCAGGAATGAAACATCTGAATTCTTGCTGAAATGGGATTCTGACAGATTCTTTTTTTTTTTTTTTAAAGATTTATTTTTATTTATTTATACAAGCACTGGGTATAGTCAGAAGCACGGGAGGGTGAGAATTCACCAGAGTCAGAGCGGAGAGCAGAGCAGACAGAATGATGAAGTACACTGCTGAGGGGAGCAGTGGGCGGCAGGAGAGGTCTGCGCGCCATGTGGGACCCTCACCCGGCAGCCAGGGATTGAACCGGCACTGCAGAGCTCCACAGCCCAGCGCTCAACCGCTGCGCCACCGGGGAGGCCCTCTGACAGATTCTTACTTCAAGAGCTACTGGTCATGTTGGGGTCTTCTGGGGTCAGGAGTGAAATACTTGTCAAAGGACTCTGATTTGAGCAAAACCCAGCAAAGTCTTACACATTTAAAAAAGGCAAGGATTGTGATTGTCTGGGAATGGAACCAAAAACAGCATACAGAGTCCAGGGCTGCCTAAGGAAGATGCTTTGGCACAATCCAGGGTCTGTTCAGGATGCCAAGCTGGGTATTTCCTGACTTGGGGTGAGAGAATCTGTGGCTTCAGGCAAAGACAGTCTTGCTCTGTGTCTTGGAGTAGAAGTGGGTGTCCTGTTGTTCCAGGTGGTTATGCGGATGGAGGGCCTCTTTACTACATCATCAATTTCAGACATTGTATATTTTATGTAACTTGGAGTGGCAGTGCTCTGGATCAGCTTGTAGAAACTGGGCCACCTTGGGCTGATTTTTTTTTTTTTTTTTCAGCCTATCTTTATCCCAAAAGACCTAGATGTGCTCTGCAGCCTGTTCCCAGGTGACATCAGGTGTAACTTGCCTGGCCAGGGTGGGAGTTGCCCTGGCGGTGTGTGGCTACATCACCTGATATAGCATTGTTTTTATCAGGTTTCCCCGTTGTATGGTACATTGTACCTGAGTAGGGCGAGGAGCCAAGACTTCCACAGTGGGAAAGAGACTGGGAACAGCCTAGGCAGGAGACTTAGTGTGGCTCCACCCTGTGAGGCAGATAAGGAAGGGAATCATTCCTGGACTCTGGAGAAAGACAGGACTCTAAAGAATAGAGTCACATGACAATGATAGCACCTGGTGATAGGGACAGGGAATTGGGGTTCTGCAGTCTAGAATCCTTGCTTTGTCCCAGGGAAGAATGAGAGGGGAGCCCTACCTCCTTCTAAAATTCCATTAGTGGGCCTCCCTGGTGGCGCAAGGGGTTAAGCACTGCACTATGAAGCAATCCACATCCTCTGCAGCACGAGTTCGATCCCCAGAGTTCGATCCCCAGCCGGCCAGGGAGGGAGCAACCCACATGGCGCAGCAGACCTCTCCTGACTCGCCCGCTGCTCCCCTCAGCAGTGTATTTCAGTCAATCTGCCTGTTCTGTTCCCCACTCTGTCTCTGGTGAATCCTCTCACCCCCGCATCTCTGGCCTGTACCCCAGCTCTTGTATGCATAAATAAATCTTAAAAAAGTATATAAATAAATAAAATTCCATTAGTGCTGTAAAAGTGGCCTTTGTAACTGATAGTCAGAAAGGCTAGACATCAGGAATGGATCCCTTTTCTCCAAATTAGAGCCATTAGCCAACCCAAGCCATTTCATATACCAGCCCTGGAAAGGTGCACCTTTCAGAAGGGCTCCTATATCTGCACTCATTCCTGTTCATTCAGCCAGCAGTTATGGGTGCCAACTGTATACAAGTACCAGGATAGAGCGGTGAACAGAATCTTTCCTAAAGGAGTTTGGGGCACAGGTGATATATGGGGCAGATTTGGGGTGGGTAAAGAGTGCTATACCAGGGAAATGCAGCAGAGGAACCTGCAGGTCTGACGAGAAGCCTCCCAGAATGTTCTCTTGAGTACTGTATGAACTGAAACTTTAGGGAGAAGGAGGGTCCCTGAAACCACACAGCGGAAACAACTCAGGGAAGTATACTCAGATGTGGATGTTGGGGAATATATCCTAGTTAGAGGTGACTGCTTATTATAAGAGCCCCAAATAAGAAAGATCCATCCGGCTTCTGAGGGTAGGGATTTTGGGTTCAGTCTCTTTCAGGATTGGGGAGGTGTAATTTAGAACCAGCCTCTCCCACAACTGGGGTGGGGGAAGGGTGGGGGGGAGATGTCAGATCCAGTCTCTCCAAGAATCAAGGGGTTTCAGACCTAACCTGGGATCAGGAGTTTCAGAACCAGCCTCTCCCAGGATCAGGGGTTTTACATCTTGGTATATTGGATATCCAGTGGTAGCTGGATAGATCTGTTATGATCAGTCCCTGTTTGTGGGGCTCTTAATAGGAGTGATGGTGTAGGGGGTGGGATACTACCAATTATATGGGAAGGAATAGGTGGCGTCCCATTGATGAGGTAGAAGACAACATTGGAGGCTTCCCTCTAGGCATCTCTTTGGGCCACCCTATTTGACTCTAGCCATCCCTCTTGCCCTGTTGCAGGTATATTTGTCACTTATCCCCATCATCAGTGGTGTCCTACTGGCCACTGTTACCGAGTTATCCTTCGACATGTGGGGGCTTGTCAGTGCCCTTGCTGCCACACTGTGCTTCTCCCTGCAGAATATTTTCTCTAAAAAGGTATGTGGGCAGTGCATGTGGGGTGCATGTGGCATTCAGAGTGTGCAGGTGACACTTGAAAAAGTGACTGAGTGGGGATTTCTTCAGTATTGGAACAAAAAAAAATTCCTGTTGCCCTTCTGGTTTTCTCTTTGTTGTTTGTGTTTTAAGTAGTTTGCTTTCTATTACAAAGGTAATGTATGTGCAATGTGAAGAAATATAGAAAAACCCAGTGGGGAAAACAAAACTAATTGAGCACCTACTGCATGCCAGGTACCATAATGGGTGCTGGAGATGAAGAATCAAAAGAGACACGCCAGAAATTTCTACTCTACTGGGTAAAGTCACCACAATGTCCCTAGAAAGAACTACTCAACGCTAGAGGATTTTTTTCTGCACGGTTTTTAGAGTTGTAATATTACGAATATATTCTTAAGTTTTGCTGCTTTGTTCCAATACTGTTGTAACACAGCATTCTTACCATTCATAATATTGCTCTTAACTCCTAATTACATTTTTTTTCAGGCACCACACCACAATTAATGCAGTCAGTTCCCCAATTGCAAACATAGGTTGTTTCCATCTGTTTGTTAAAAGAAATGCAGTAATAAACATCTTTGTGCATAATGCTTTCCTCTTTTTGGGAAAGTATAGGCTTATAGTTTCGGGGTGCAGGGTAGGAGATGTTCATGACTCTATATACTTTACCTGGTTAGATTTCAGAAGAGCTGTGTATCAATTCAGACTTAGACCAGCAGGTTTTCAGGGGGCTTGTTTCAGTACAACTTCCTGGGCCTTGAGTATTGTTGGGGACTTTTGTTTGTTTTTTTCATTCCTTCATACCTGAGCCCTTATGCTTGTTTCAGGCATGGACAGTGTCATCATGGGTGCCCTGCAGGTTAGGCAGTCAAGGTTGGATCTCAAGGTTAATATACAGTCATTGCATTTGAAGCCTTGGTAATTGGAGCCCCTCCTGCCACTTATATTTTCTGTCAGTTTTAAAAGAGGCTTCTTTCTTCAGGTACTGAGAGACTCTCGGATCCACCATCTCCGACTGCTGAACATCTTGGGCTGCCATGCTGTCTTTTTTATGATCCCCACATGGGTCCTGGTAGACCTCTCGGCCTTCTTGGTCAGCAGTGACCTGGTGAGTTGGGCAGCAACACACCCTCTTCTTGCCTGGCTCCTTTGTGTGGACTTTGGGGTGTCCCAGCTCTTTGAACACTCAGCCCTTTGTCATGACTCATGTTGCGGCTACTTGAGGAAGTAAGTTGGTTTCCTTTGTATTTCCTTCTCGGTGCACTAGATCCCCAGCTGATGGCCGCTGCAAGTATACCAGTGGCATTAAGGAAAAAAATACCAACATGGGACTCCCTGTTCTGCCAGTCCAATTTGGATCTTAATTCAACTTCTTAAAAACAGTGCTTACACTGCTGGATTCTGTCTTTGGTGTCATTTTGTGCATATTTTCCATTCATTCCCAAGTATCCATTGCTCTGCATGCACAGGAGAGCCCCACCCAGCTGTAGGGCTAGATTCCATGTGAGAAATGAGTGTAGCTGACAGCAGTGGGAAGGAAACTGCTTATTAGTTCTTCCAGACCAGAGAGAGGAACTTAGGAGGTTCTCCAATTAGGTAGCTTCATTCAGCATTGGTTCCTTGGGACATTGATGAAAAGAAAACAAACCCTAGCCTATGTTGTGTGAAACAGTGTTATTCGTGCACCTGCTTTCCTCTTTCAAGTACCTGTGATGTTATATAGAGACTTAGGTGTCTGTTAGGGCTTAACAAGGCCACCCAGATTCTTGACATTGGTCCTTCGTCCCTTGCTCCCCCTGTGGAAGTCATGGAGAGTATCTTCATTTTCCAGTTGAGGAAACTGGCTGTTTCCTGATTTCCCTTCCATAGTCCTTAGCTATAATATTTCTGTGTAGAACTTTCTGTGATCAACCAGGGCTCATTTATTATCTTGGAGTATAGTCCACGAATGGCAGTTTAATACTTCTTTTTCCTCTTAATTACCAACTTTCAGGGTCAAGAGCTACATTCTACTTTAAATGTTAATTGGTGAATTGAAGTGTGTTTTTTGTTGTTGTTTTGTTTTTTAAGAAGGTGGTGGGAGGGTAGAAGAGGAAACCAGATTTCTTTGACTAAATCTTGCCATATTGTTGGGCTTTGGAAATAAAAAGTTTGATATATTCAGTACAGAAAAATTTATTTTTTCAGTATTATTGTAAGCTCATGTTTGTCATTTGCACACATTCTTATCCACATTATCCTGTCTTGGCTGGTGGACATTTTCTTATCAGCTCCCTGCCCTTCAACACCCATACCAGCCTTTGAACATGCAGGGTGCCCACCCTCATTTTGTGCATCATCCCAGACCTGCAATCTGTCACTCCTGTGGGAATCCCAGTTGCTTTCAGTGGAGAGTAGTGTCCAGGGACACAGCCTGAGTGCTGAGTATGCTCGCTGCTCTTGGCTTGTCATTGCTTTTAAGCCTTTGCGGTGAAAAACCAAGAATGTATTTGGGGGCAAAGGGGAAGAGTTCATACTGATGTCCCAATTCCAATTTAACATTATAGGATTTTTAAAAAATTTATATCTTTTCTGGTATGCTTTGATTTTTAAAAAGTTTGTATTTTTTCTGGTATGCTCACTTCCTTGGACTAGTACTCAGAAACATTATTCTACTGTACACATATGTAGAAAATAACTTCAGAGTGAGAGACTCTGAGGGACAACTGCAGGTTGTGCATTGAGGGAAGTTTAAGATTTCTTCCCAGATCTATTTGTCCACAGAACACGTTCCACTAAAGATGCACAAGTGTAATACTCTGCTCTGAAGGCATGTGGAAGAAATGTCTTCACAATGTGCCTGTGTCTCCAACTTGTTAAGCAGTTTGTTTATTTCCATTTGTTTTCAATTTTTAGGTATTGCTTTCTTTTCTTGCCACCACTGAATGTATAAAATTTTATATTTCCCAAACCAAACAATATGACAACTTGTAGCCAAAGAAATCTGACTTGAATCCCTTAACTTCCACCCTAAACCTCTCCTCCGCCCCCCCCCACACAGGCAGCCATTTTTATGCTCTTTGTGTGTTTCTTTTCCCAAGTATAAACAGATCTCCTTACACAAAAAAAGTAACTTTTTAGATATTTAGAAAAAAGTGCCTTGCTCTTTTTACTCAATTATATGTCTGGTTGATAACTCCATATTGACATGCAAGGTCTAGCTCATTCCTTTGATTGGCTGCTGCTGCTTGTATTTAGGACATTGTTAAAATTTCATTCTGGCAGTTGCCCTTTTTGTAATACCTTTAGTAACCCTTTCTTTCTTCCTTTTTTTTTTTTCTTCCCTTGTTGGGGCCCTTGTATGTTTGGTCAACAGCCCTAGGAGCATGAGGTGTCCCCCAGTGCTCCAGCATGAAAGTGGAGGTCCTACCTCTCTGAGCTCCTCTGCCAGTGTCTCCCTCAGAGACGCTGGGTAAGTTAGCTCTGACCTGTGATGTGTTCTGGGGTGGGAGTGAGGATCAAGTAGGACACCAGCTGGGGTCTGCTGTTTGCCATATTACCAATAGTCAGAGACTACAGGGGATGGTTCTTGGGTGGTTTGAAATTTCTGCTGCCCACAGCTAAGCTGAAGCCAGGTGGAGAGGCCAGACTCTGGAACAGGTGGCCTGATTCTAAAGCTTGGACAAAATACGTGAAATAGCTATTTGAGAACTGGAAAGTAAGGGATCGGTGGCCAACAGGCTGGGGAAGAAGGCCAGAATCTGAGTACTATTGACCAGTGGTGAATCTGCCTTTCTTTTGCCTCCAGTATCTCCAGCTTGAACCTGAAAGAAGTAGCGGGCACTGACTGAGAACAGAGCAAGGAGGCCTCTACTGTGGCTCAGGGAATAGGAAAGGGGATTCCAGACTTTCAGAGAGTGGGGGAAATCCTTTACTGGACTTTTTCTGTTTACTTTGTTACCTTCATTCTCTTGTGTCCCAGGCCTTTGGCAATCCTGTGGTGGTTGTGCAGGACAGGTAGCAAGAGTACCAAGGCACCTGAGATGCAGAAGAGGTACACCCTCCTGCATTCAAAAGATGGTATCAGCCCCTGCTGCATGTCTTTCTCTCTTTATCTGCCACATGGTGACCCTCGATGGAGGTCAGTCTGCTGGAAGGACACAGCACAGTGGGGTAATTAAGCCCCAGCCTTCTGAGAACTGAAACAAGGAGTCCTAGGAAACTAAAAAGTACCAAGGAGATCATGGAGAGGAAGAAGCTGGGGAACATGACTTTACCCCTGTGCTGTGCCCGTTGAGAATCTCTTCCTGAACAGCATACCAAAAACGTTGAAGATGAAAGCATGGAACTGAGACTGATCACAGGATAAATGTGCACACAGGACAGCCACATAGCACTGAGAGAGCTTTGCAAAAATTGACTGCAATCACAACCCACAGAAGGCTGGTCAATTTTGTAGTCAGAATCCAGCTGTGTGGGCTAAAACAAAATATCAACATTCTTCAAATGAATTTAAACAGACCTACAGTCTTACAATGTTCTAAATATCAAGAATACGAGATAAAATTATGTGGCATGTGAAGAACAGGAAAAATTCAAGTCATGGGAGAAGATAGTCAATAGACACCAGGACCAAGGTGACACAGATGTTGGGGATTATCAGACACAGCACTGATTACAGTCATGCTCCTGACTGAATTAGATGAACCAAATGGAAATGGAAGAAATAGTCACGTAAAGACTCACTGAATGGATTAAAGAACAGAATGGAGATAACAGAGGAAAGCACCAGCAAACTTGAAATTAGATCAACAGAAAGGATCCAGTTTGGGAGGGGAAAAAAGATGAAAAGACAAGAAATCTTGGAAACAAAAAACCTAGGAAAACAGCAATTTGAATGACTGGATTTCTTATCAGAAACCATAAAAACCAAAAAGCCATGACTAGTATTTTTGAAGTACTAAAACTGTCACCCTAGACTTCTGAACCAGTAAATATAGTCTCCAGAATCAGTAAAACTACAGAAATCAGCAAGGAAAATCACTCAGCTTGACATATAATTTTATATTTGTAGAAAATGCTACCCAGTAACAGCAGAATAGACATTCTTTTTCAGGTATACATGGAGCATTCATTCGCCAGGATAGACCATACCCTGTGCCATAAAACTTTAATAAATTTAAAATGAATTAAACATAAAAAGCATACTATCTACCTGTGATGGCATTAGAAGTCAGTAACAGAAAATTTCTGAACACTTGGAAATTAAACAGCAAATTTCTAAATGATCAATTGGCTCAAGAAGAAGTCTCAAGGTAACTAGGAAATATTTTCAACTAAAGTAAGACTGACAGAAAAAGAGAGAAGACAGTATAATTACCAGGAGTGAAAGGAGTATCACTACAACTTACATATACAATTTCAACAACACAGATGACAGAACAATTCTCATAAATCCCAAGACACCAAAACTCACCTACTCAACTTGAAATAGATAAACCTGAAAAGCCATGTAGCTATTAAAGAAATTAAATTCGTAGCTTAAAATCTTTCAAAAAGAAATCATCAGACCCAGATGGTTTTACTGACAAATTCTATACCTTTTAAGAAAAACTGAACACCAGTTCTTCAAAATATCCTCCAGTAAGCAGAAGAAAAACTAAAAAAAAGACCAAAATCCTGCGTGAACACAGAGGCAGAAGCACTGAGCTAGATATTAGTAAATCAAATTCAGCAATGTATGAAGTATAACACTATGAAAATGTGGGATTTAAATCAAGAATGCAATTGATTATTTGAAAGTCAGTGTAACCTCCTTTAACAGTGTAATGAGGGCCTCCCCGGTGGTGTAGCGGTTGAGCGCTGGGTTGTGAAGCTGCCCGCAGCCTCTGCAGCGCCGGTTTGATCCCCAGCTGCTCCCCGGCCACCAGGGGAGGGTCCCACATGGCACGCAGACCTCTCCTGCCGCCCGCTGCTCCCCTCAGCGGTGTACTTTGGTCCTTCTGCCTGCTCTGCTCCCCGCTCTGGCTCTGGTGAATTCTCTCGCCCTCCCGTGCTTCTGACTGTACCCAGTGCTTATATAAATAAATAAGTAAATCTTTAAAAAAAAAAATTAAAAAAAAAAACCAGTGTAATGAAGTTAAGCTCAGTCATATCAACTGCAGAAAAGGTATTTCACAGAATCCAATATCCATTCATAATTTTTTTTAAATCAACAAATTAGAAATAGGAGGGAGCTGCCTCCTCTAAACAACAGCATTTTATATTTAATGTGATGATGAAAGATTGAAGCCTTAATCTTAAATTGAGGAATAAGACAAGATGTTCACTTTTCAGAACACACTTATTCTACATCCTAGCCAGTGCAATAAGGTAATAAATACAGATTTGAAAAGAAATGAAATTCTTTCTAAACAAAATCTTGTTTCTGAGGATTTAATGTGAAAATTAAACTGAGTTTTCTCCTCTGGCAAGCCAAAAATGAAAAAAGTTGAGATACTTTCATGTATGATCAATGTTTGTGTATATGTGGAAAGAGTCATACATTGCTTAACACTGGGGATGTGTTGTAATATGCACCATTAGGCAGTCATTGTGTGGCCATCATAGAGTGTGATTACACAGTAAGATTGTACAGCCTACTAGACACCTAGGCTGTGTGGGGCCACTGTTGGCTGTGTAACTTGTTGACCGAAATGGCATTAAGAGTTCATGACTGTGAGTGTGTCTGTGTTCATATATTTTATAAAACTTAACTCTTAATAGACTCTAGACCTAAGTTGAAGCCCTAAAGTGAATTTTAAAAAAAAGCAAAGCCCATAAAGAAAAAACTGGTAAAAAGGGCTTTGTCAAAATTATAAACTGTGCTCTGTGAAGACACTGGTTAAGTAAATGCAAAAACAAGCTACAGACTAGGAGGGCATATTTGCAAGTGATACACGAACAGAACTTGCATTCAGTATAACAGATTGTTAAAACTTCAGAAAAATCCACTTTAAAAATAGGCCAAGAAGACTTGAATAGATGCTTCACCATTGAGATTGTACAGATGACATGTTGATTGGCCCTTAATTAGCTGTGAGGGAGCTGCAGAGTACAACCTTGATGAGGTAGATGCCATTTGATACTTGTGAGAATGGTGAAAAGAAGAAGTGCCGATGGCACCAAGTTCTCAGGGATGAGGTGCAACTAAAACTGTCTTTTAAGTTGTTGGAGTGAATGCAGAATAGCATGGCTTGGGTGGTTTCTTATGGAGTTAAACATACACTGACCTCATGATTGCTGTCCCACTCCTGGGTACTCTTGAGAAAGCAAACTCAGGTTTACACAGAAGCCTGGACATGAATGTTTATGGTAACTTTGTGACCTCCAAAAGCTGGAAACAACCCAAATGTCCTTCAGCAGGTGAATGGATAAGGAAATGTCCGTATTTTCATGTAGTACTCAGTGCAACAGTACTCAGTGGTTTAAGAAAACACAAAAAAAGGTCCCAGCTATTGTCTTTTTATCACAACTTGAATGGGTATCAGAGGCATGCTGAGTGGAAGAAAACTGTCTCAGAAGTTTCCATGCCTGTGGTTCTTTGTTTTCAGGGAAGACTGAGTGAGAACACATCATTGATTACCAGGGCTAGGAGAAGGGGCTGTTTTGGATATGTGCTGAGTTCTGCTTGGGGCATTGGCTACATGAATTAACACATGTGTTCAAATTCATGAACCTCTGCAGTGAGGAAGACACACTCCACTCTGTTGTACCTCACCAGGTTGGCTGGGTTCCTTTCCTGAAAGATGTCTAAGCAAGCTGGCTGCCTTGCAAAAATAGCCTAGAAGTCCATATCCTTTGGATCAGGATTCCTAGGAGGGCAGTCCAGTTCCCCAGAGAAGCATGCGGGCACCTGCATGCTTCCCAGTGGCAGTCATCCTAGCTAGGAGCAGAAGTTGCATGGCCTACAGCAGGTCACCTGGGTGTATCTTGCTGACCTTTGAGAGGACCATGTGATCTCTCCCCCTTGGGGGTAGAGATTGAATTAGGTAACTGCCCTCATGCTGTTTCAGTTCTTGTCCTGGCATGGCCACTAGACACCAACGTGGGGATGGGGGGTGGGGAGGGTGGCTAGCTATATCCTCCTATGGTCAAGGCTATGGTGTTTGTTATAGCAGTCTCAGCAAGCGTAGATGAGGTCTGCTAGTCCCAGTCACTCTTTGTCCAGGGACAAGGGAAGGCTTTGGTTACCTCCTGCTCATGTCCTTTGGATACTAACACCCCCTCTCAGAGAGATTATTTTTGTGCATTCCTGAGGGTCAGAGGTTGTACCTTTTGAGCACCTCATATCCCATGACATGCCTAGGTCATTCCCCAATAAGCTGCATCTGCACCCTCTCCTAGCTCCACTAGGGCAGGTATGTGACCAGAGTGCTGTTCTGCTCCCCACTCTAGACATATGTGTCCCAGTGGCCCTGGACACTTATGCTCCTGGCTATCAGTGGCTTCTGCAACTTTGCCCAGAATGTCATCGCCTTCAGCATCCTCAACCTCATCAGCCCTCTGAGCTACTCTGTTGCCAACGCCACCAAGAGAATCATGGTCATCACCGTGTCCCTGATTATGCTGCGAAACCCAGTCACCAGCACCAATGTCCTGGGCATGATGACAGCCATCCTGGGGGTCTTCTTGTACAACAAGGTGAGTCAGGGAGGCGTGGGGAATGAGGAAGGAGGTAACCCCTAGACAACTGGGGAGTCATCTAAAGTTAGTTGAGGGGAAAAGGAACGGGCCTTGCCAGGAGCCAAGAGGTTGGGTTCCATCTCCCAGCTTTGCTACTGACTGGATATGGTCTTGGCAGTCCTGCCTACCCAGCCAGTAAAGGTGACCTCACACTGGCACCACACTCCTACTAGGGCTTTGTTGGAGAAAGGCTCTTGTTTGGTCATTAAAGGATATGGGAAGGGCAGGTCTCACCGGAGGCATGCTTGCATTGGTCCTGAATGGCCATATTGCTGTGCATGGTGAACTTCCCGCTGTCCTGGGACGTGTCCCAGGGAATGAGCAGATGATCTCATTTGATTTCTTGACCTGCAGACCAAGTACGATGCAAATCAGCAAGCCCGGAAGCACCTCCTCCCTGTCACAACGGAGGACCTCAGCAGTAAAGAGCACCAGAAGCCTCACAACGGCATCCTCTTCCCCCAGCATGGGGACTATCAATATGGCCGCAACAACATCCTAACAGATCACTTCCAGTATGGTCGACAGAGCTACCCAAATTCCTACAGTTTGAACCGTTATGATGTGTAGTCTAGAGGGCAGGGTGGGACCTTTGTGCTACTCCTTCCCCCACCCCCCAGCAGCACCAGAAACTTCTGACAACCAGTGAATGTACAACCCAGTCACGGGGCCATGGGGATGGTACACAACCATCAGAAGACCCTCAGGCAGCAGACCCAAGTCCCTGTGAAGAGGACGGTCGAGAGGAGCGCTGGCATTTATTGCCCTTTCCCTGGAGTCTCATCTGAGGGCTGTGTCACCGTGGAGGTCTTGGCCAGGTTTGACCTTTCTCCGTGGACTTGCTCCCAGGTCCTGTATTTCATAGCCCTTGTTCTGTCCAGATGATGTCAAGACCTGCTCTGGAGAGGCTGTAGAAACAGATCCCACAGTAAAGAAAAGAATGGCTTCCCAGGGACTGAGAAAAGAGGGGTGCACAAGTAACAGACCAGCATTTAGATTGATATGCAGCCAAAGAGGAGCATGACAATTATGAAAAACATCTCCAGCCACGGAGCTGGACAGCTTCCCTGTCATCTCCATAGCTGTTTGCAGTTCCAAAGGTTCCAGAAAGAAAACTGATCAGTTAGTATTGAGTTCTTGGAGCCTGGGTCTTTGAATTGCAGGTCTGGTTTGTATCTGGCCTGAGCAGGGCATATCTCTGGGTAGGAAAAGAGTGGAGCAGGAGATTATGGTCATTGGTCAGTGTTTCATGCTCTATTTCCCTAATACCCATTTTGTCTTTTCTGGTTGAGTCTTCACCACTTCTGGGATGACTTAATCGGGTGGTTGGTGGAATGCTGTTCACTTTATGAGGCTCTGGCATTTTTTAAGGGAGTGTTTTATAGTTAAGTGTATGTGTTTATGCCTTGGTTCCCATTGGGGGACGCATGAGGACTGGCTTATGGATCAAAAGTCCTTTTGATTCGAAAAGTACTGTCTCAAAATAAGCAAAATCCCTACTGGTGATGCCTAACCATTTTGGCATTTAGTAGGAAGCAGCAGAAGTGTTTCAACCACAATCACTGAAAGTGAAACAAATCAAGAATATCATCCGAGTAGTCTGTGTGACAGACAAGCAAGTGTTTTCACATTATGATCTAAATCATGTCCTGGTGAAGGCTGAACGCCAAGCTAGCGTTTGGTTTGCCAATTCATATTCTTTGGTCAAGAATAAGTTTGGGTTTTGGCAGAATCACATCAGGAAGATTATGTGATCCCAGCAGAAATCCCCATGTGCCAAGGTCCAGGTCCAGGTCCCCATCTTTTCTGGCACCACAAAAGGACTGCCCTCTATGAGGGGGCCACTAGCTTGGCTGGTGAATTCCTTGGTGAGAGCTGCCTTCTTCCTTCAGCACCACCCCAATCTCTTGGACAGGTTTTTGGGGTAAGCAACATATGGGACAGCAGGTTACCCTTGTACCTCCCGGTGAATGAGAAAACTCCCCTATACAGAGGAGTGCTAGACACCTGGTTGGTTGGTTGGTTGGTTTTCGTGATTGGGATTTTATATTTGAGAGATTACATTTTCTCAGCTTGAGAGTCGGCTATTCCTAAGAGACTTAGGGGTCCCTTCTGGCCTGTGAGTTTGCATACCTCTGGCCTCAGGGGTCCCTGTTGATTGTTGCTTGCTCATTTTATCTTTAGTTGGGTCCCAAAATTTGAGACCATGTAAGATAGGAGGCAGCAATCCTGAAGGTGTAGTGTGTGTGCTAGTGCTTTCCCCAGAGGGGCTGGAGTCTAAATCTTCTCACTGGTGAACAACAGATGGGGATAATTTTGCACTGCAAACATACAACAGTCTTTTTATTTGTAATAACTGATTTCTTGAACATATACTCAAACTCCAAAATGAATTATGCCTCTCTTCAGGTTTAATGACATTTCTGATGTTGATGAAATTTGTATATTGCCTTTTCTAATGCAGGATCTGCTGGTGAAGGGAAATAGCTGACTGGTTTTATTATGGTTTATAAAGGGTATTTAATTTTGTACATAAATTTGCAGTAAGTACATACACTGGAATGAATGACAATCTTATTCAACTAAATAATCAGATCAAGACAATACACTTCTGAGACTTGAAAATTCAGAATTGACATTAATCTCTTGAAGGCCATTTTCCTGTCACTACTGCCCCAGCCTCTGCCCTCTCCTATGTTCATGCCTGCAGCTGTCCCGTCCTACCTGAGGTTTGTGGCAATGGATTCAGTTCACCCATCCATAATACAGTCTGGCCTGCAACACTAACCCTAGCCCAACTCCTTCATTTTACAGAAGAGGAAATTGAGGCTCAGAGGGCATTTCTATATAGTGCTTGTTCACTATTTTGAGAATTAAGCACCTTAAAAAACTTACTCATTATAGGGAAAACCAAATTCCCATCACAAAGGAGAGAAGCCTATCGATATATTCAAGTGGAGCACCTGGAGTTTCTGACATCATGCAACAGGCCCTTCATTATCTCTGGGATATGACCAGATCCAGATTGCTCAAGTTCAAACAGCCTTAAGGGCATAGAACATTGAACCGTTAAAAGATCTGCAAATTGTGAATTCTCTTTTCTAAGTGTCATCTGTTTTCAAGACTTAAATGCTATAGACTGTTCTGTGGGAATGATACTGTGTATGTTCATTGATGGCATTTACCAAAAATAAAAGATGGTCTCCAGGGAATTGAGACTGGTCCCAATTTGTCACTGAGGGTTTCTTTATAAGTGTGCTTAGCAACTGAACTTCTAAGTAGTAGAAAGAATAAACCAACTTGGTTCTCAAATTCAGATATATTACCTTTATTTCTGAGCCAAAACTTAAAGACATGTGATTTGTGGATTTAGGACATTGTAGAATAAAAGAATTACAACTGAAGAGTTAATGATATGCCTTTACTGAACAGACTAACATGGAAAATCCAAGAATACTGTGTATTTCTGAGGAATAATAGCTAATATTGAGTACCCACTATATGCCCAACACAGTGGTGGCTTTTCATATACAATCCTTACAATCAGTACCTTTGCACTGTTTTTATTAATCTTACTTTACTAATGAAAATGAAGCCCAAAGGAGTTATGTCACTTGTTTGAGGTTATAGAGCTACTTCAGTTAACCTCCAAAGCCTGTATTACTCCTAACAGAATTTCCCTTCAAATGCAGTAGAAGGATATTAGTTTCTGCTAAAACAATTGCCTGCATCTTTTAATTCTCCCGTTAAGTGATTTACTGAGCATGTAATGTCTAGTCAGACTCCAGCCTTCAGCACTGTGTGCGCGTAGAAGTGGTAGCAGCAGACAGGTGCTATTGGCAGTAAGTGAAAAAATGCTTAGAGCATCTGAGGGGCACGAAGGAACATTTGAACTTGCATTACATTCACAGGGTCTTTGCACAGTCTGTGTGCCTTGTTAATCATCAGAGCTTAAGGGAGGCATCAGCACCAAATGAGAGGGAAGTGGAAAAAGAAGTCAAGGTTTCCCCTTGGTGCAAGACTGGGGCCTGGGAGTGTCTGAGCAGCCATCATAAAATAAGCTGTTTTGGTTTACCTCACCTTTGTCATATACTCCTAAGAGGAGTCACTGCCATCAAGGGGTATATCCTCCCCTTCATTTCCCCGGCATACTATGGTAGGAGCCCCCTGTCAATATAACTCAGATGGTTTTGTGGCCAGTCAGTTGAATTTTGGCCTCACAGGCTCTGCATCAGGGGTAGAAACAGGGCTTTCCACCTGGCTGGGTTTAGGATGGCCCCATTGTTCAGACATCCATTTGTTTCCCCAGGGCAACTCCTTTGTTTGTTTGGTGACACATGATCAGGCCCAAAAAATGCTCCTTACTCCCAGACTATGTTGTAGCACCTTTCCTTCTGCAGTGGCTACAGCTAGTTGAACCACAGTAGGTCCAGTTATTGCAGGAGACGAGGAGACAATACCACTAGGCTTTAGCTTTACTGAGACCACTGGTCTGGATGACTCTACATTTCTTCAGTCACCCACTACTTTTTAAAATAACTTTTACTGTCTGTATTTTTAAGTTTGAAAAAAATTGTTCAAGCACATACATATGCTTGTGAATACAGTTTATCTTGTGACTAGTTTATCATGAAATGCTACACAAGAAAATGGACACAACAGTTGCCTATGCACATTTGTTTTTTCAAAACTGGCATAGTATACATGTTATTTTGTAACCTGCTTCCTTTTTTAAAAGTAATATGCCAGAAACATTTCTGGGTTATTAAATATCCTTCCTTAATTGTGTCTGTGTACATGGTATTGTGGTGACAGAAATGTGACTTAATGAACCTGCCCCTATTGCTACACATTTAATACTACTTTACAAGGTAAGTTTGCAGTGCACACATAGTGCAGCACACACATCTGATTTGGAATAAATTCCTCATGGTATACTTGCAGGATCAAAGCAGGGTTGCAAATTTTAAACTTCCACTTCACATCTTGAGTGGGCCCCAAAAGCAGATGCATCTGACCAGGGGTATGCATTTTGAGTCTTGTTTCCAAGTTCTTGAAACCATCACTGCAGTAGCCTCTACTTCTACCAGTGTTCTTCTACTTTCTTCTTACCAATGGGTTCTGATTTAGTCCACCAAAATGAGTCGCAGTGAGGTCCTATGGTGCTTAAAATTTCAGTCTCTTCTTAAACGCTGTAAAATAAATGTTGGAAAGTAGTGATCACTGTGCACAGGCTTTCGGGGGGGCAGTAAAGCAATATCCAGGTGAAATATGCACACCCTTTGACTCAGAACCAAGTTTATATATACACTAATAGTGGCCTAACAACAGAACCAATCCGAGACTGCAGAATCTGACTTAAATAAGTTACGGTAAATCCCTACCAGAGTTCATGCAGCTATTAAAATGACCACACTGATTAACCTGTTTTAGTTCACACATCCTGTTAGGAATCTGGAAAATGTTGTGTATGTATCTTCAATTCATGCAAATGCAGATATTGTGCGATACTGTGCTATCTCTAGCCCATCAATATGGACCACAAGTTAAAACTTATTGATATAGATCTTCACTAGCAATGGAAAATTGCCCACTCGCTCCAGACTGTACCAGAGTTCCCATTGCCTGCAGTGTTTACATAGCTAGCTGTTTCCCAGTTGGGCTGTCCTTGCAAGCCTCACCTGGGGAGGGCCTTCCCCAACAGTCCTGCCAGTGTAGGCCCTACCCTGCTTTCTTACCATGGTCTCCACATCCTATTTTCCTTACTAAAACTGTTGTTAATGATACATTTGCTTATTGATTTGTAGGTCTGTGCTCATCACAGACTGGGATCATGAGAGCAGCAGTTGGGTTGGACCTGTTCATCCTTAAGTTACAACCAGTCTGCAGTTTTGTAAACCAAGAATGGTCTTTACAGGTGAACATTTGCAATAAACTGATGACAACGCAGACTAACTTGGACCCCTCTCTCCTCTCGTGGGGGAGGAATTTAAAACTACTCAATTTAAAAAAACAACTATTTTGAATTCCACCGTTATGGACATTTTTCTCTTTGGTTATATGAGTACCTACATAAGCAGGTCCTAAAATAAGGTGGTTTCTTTCAACAATGCTGAAGAGGGTAAACCAAGTTGTTTACCCTATTTAGAGGTTCCCTTGCTTTTGTTCTACCTCCTTTCCTTTAAAGTCGCAATTATTAAGAACCTATCCACAACGTTAACTGAAGGATTACTTTAAAATCCTGGCTTTTGCCTTTTGGCCCCCAAGGTCGGTCTGGCTCTTTACATAAGAACTTTGCTGATCCGTGGCCTAAAGCAATACCTGGAACACTGGAGAGAATTCACTGGCGTCAGGGCGACAGATTATATAACCGTAAAATAGAAATCTAAAATGCTATCTGTCTTGAAAAAAATCGTAAGTTACAGTCACCAAGTGTTGACAGTGGAACGTCTTCTGCCCTGGTCATCCCTTCCACGACTGACAAAGATTAACTTCATCCTTTTAGAAGCCATAGGACCACACTTTTCCAGAAGTGTCGGCGCCCGCGGATTGTGGGCTCTCACCGCGCTGCTACACCCGCTGCCCGGCTACCTCACCGGCCCCAGGGGCGCGGACGGCGGGGCGGGCGGGTAACAGACCAGCCCCAAAGTCGTCGCGGTCCAGCGGGAGGCCGGACTCTCACGGAGCATAGCCCCACCCCCGCCAGGCACGTCCCCCGGGTCGGCTCCCACCCCTGGTCTGGGGCCTTCCGGACGCTTCTCACCTCCAAGTCTCTTCACCGTAGCCCTGCGAAAGAGACATGTGGGTCTGACTCGGGTGGGAACTCGTAGTGGCCGGGTAGGTTGGAGAAGGCCCCGGTCGCTCCTAACGGCTGCCAGAACCCTTTCTGCGGCTCGGGCACGCCGCGCGACAGAAACTCGCTTCACGCATGCGCGAGGGCGCCCTGGCGCCAGCGCGCGGCTTCCGGTGGCTTCCTCCCGCCCGCCTCCTGCCCTCACTTCCGGCGTTTCCTGGCGACGGCCGTAAGTGACGGGCGGAAGCGCCCACGAGGTCCGCCGTAAAAGGCCCTCTCGCGCCACTTCCGGCCGGCTTCCGCAGACGGCGCTGGTGGGTGATCGTGAGGCTCCGGAGGACGTTCCCGGCGGCCGAAGCCATGGAGATGCCGCTGCCGCCTGACGGTGAGGCCCAACCCGGTCGCGGGGGCCGTTTCTCTTTCCCCGGAGTCCCCTCCTAGCTCGCCCCGCCTACCGGGGGGTACCCGGGCCCCAGAGGGGGCGGGGCTCGGCCTCCCGATCTTGCCTGCGGCCTCTCCCGCGGGTCCCCGCATTCCCGGCGCGCGCGTGGCCCCTGCCGGGACCCGTACAAGAGCGGCCTCAGTGGGGCCCACCCCAAGAGACCCCAACCCAGCGGTCGAGAGCTGGGACGCCAGGGCCTCCAGATTGGGGCGGCCCTCGCTGACGCCGCGCGTGGCCCTCTCTTCGTCCTCCAGACCAGGAGCTTCGAAATGTCATCGACAAACTGGCCCAGTTCGTGGCTCGCAACGGGCCCGAGTTTGAAAAGATGACGATGGAGAAGCAGAAGGACAACCCGAAGTTTTCGTTTCTGTTCGGAGGCGAGTTCTATAGTTACTACAAGTGCAAACTGGCGTTGGAGCAGCAGCAGCGTGAGTATTGTCCAACTCTCAGGCCGTCCCTTACACGATTCTTTCCAGTGGTTCCAGTTCGGTCTCTGCCACAAGCCACCGTTCTTGGGGTCGTGTGCTTTAGCTTCATGAGCCCTTCTGGTCTTCCCAGGGCCCTGCACCTAGCGTTTGCTGGGTTCAAGCGTAAAGGAGAACGGGGTTATCGATCCGCCTCTGGGCTCCAGATCAGGGATTCCTCTATTGTTTTGCAGACGTGACAAATGAGGTCTGCTGTAGTTGAGTGACTAATTCAGTGTTTTCCAGTCAGGGAGTGATAGAGGTCGGACTGGAGTCCTCAGGCAAACACTGTCCAGCCCCATGAGTGAGCTCTCTATCAGTCCAACGAGGTTTTTGTGTGTTTCAAATCCTGCATCCCGAATCAAAATGAATTGCCTTTCTGGGTTTACTTTTTGGTAGATGTTAACCGATGTTTACTGATTTGTGCATCGGAATTTTGTCCTTGGCCTAAACGAGTTTAAAATGGAGTTAGGAATCACAACTGACCCTTCAGCGGTAGGTAAACTAGTAAGAAGATGGCAAGGTCTGTCTTGCTGCTAGGGAATCCCTCTCTTCTAGATTACTATTGGAATGAATGAGTAGAGGATTGCCAAGTAGATGGCCACTGAAAGGTGAATGCTCCTTGGGGCCAACCGGACTTTATCATGGTTATCATTGTGCATGAATACATGGTACATAAGCAGATGCTTTATAAAGAGTTTGTAAAAACAAAACAGGAGAGGTGGATTGAACAAGTTCAATGCATTTAGGGATCTACCAGGAAAACCATGGGCAGCATAGCCTGGAATGGAATTTGTGTGAGTGAGGCAAAAGTTTGATCAGGAGTGGTAAATGCCAGAGTAATGTTTGGGGTTTCTCCCACAGTCCATGGGTTCTTCTGGTGGCTGTTTAGGTTTGAAATGGGGAGGGACAGATCAGCCATCTGAAGTTGTAGATAAACTGTTATATATGCTTGTATGTTTATGGAGCAACCATTCCTTAATCCCACTATCCCAAATTTAAGATACCTGGTATAGATGGTGGGAAGCCAGGGCCAGTGGACAGTAAGGGAGGCCTGTAGGGGGACAGAGAGAGAGGAGAGGTGAAGAATTGAAAGTGGCGCTTAACTGTAGAATAGTTGAGAGATGGGTATGATATGAAAGGAGAATTTTTCAAGAGAGTTTGAACAAAGGCAAGCTAGGTCAGGGTTATGTAGCCAGTGTGGATGGGCTAGAGGGAGCCATTAAGAGGTGACTGAGACTGAAAAAGTCAGTAGGAGAATGGAAGGGGTTGTTCATGGTAAGGTATGGATTAGGTCAGCAGGCTGAGTCAGGAATGAGCATAGAAACAGATGGGGTTTGGGGATAGAACCTGTGATAGAGGGAGGCACCAGTTGGATATGAAGAGGGTGACATAAACAGGCAGGGGAGGACAGGGATTTGACTCAAGTGAGGGTCAGAGATCAGGGACTACCTAGGACTTGGTACCATACAGGGGAATGACAGGGTAGGCTAAGATGGGCTTCTAACAGGGAAAGAATGGGGTTCAGTATGTGCTTTCTGCAGGTAATAGTATCTCAAGTAGAGTGAAGAATATGTTGTAGTTAGTCAGCTAGAAACTGAGAAAAGTGTCAGACACAAGACAGAACCTGTGGAGGGACCCAAAACCTAGAAATTAGGGATTTTTTGAGTTGCCCGAGGGAGGGTGCAGAGCATGGTGTACTGGCTGACCAAAGACTTAGGAAGTCACTGTCACTCTAAGTGGGGTGCTGTGAGAGTTTCAGATCTGTAGCCACTGTGTCACCAGTCCTTCCTTCATTCTGGCTTGTGAAGGCTGAGCCCCAGGACTATTCCAAAATGTTTCCCAAGATGGTGAAGGACCTGTTTGGCGGTTGTTTTATTGTTGTTGTTTTTAATTTCCTTTCTGTCATGGAAATTACGCTTTTGCAAATTTCAATAAAAATTAAACTATGAAATTTCTGTAAAAGTACCAAAACATGCCCTTGCCATTTCTATACTTGTCTATTCTCAGTATCACTTGCTTCTTCTGTACTTGGCCAGCCATCAACTTGCAGTGTGATAGGGACTTGGTGTTGCTGAACATCCAGTTCTTCCCCCCTGCAACAGCCAGGTCTCAGTAAGCTTGGTGATTCCAGGGATCCAGGAGGTCAGGCTCACATGCCATGGCCTCTGCCTGCCTTCCTACTTCCACCTTTCAGCTGGGAGCACCTGGGAGGAGAAGGCTGAAAGAGCAGGACTGCACACAGGAGAGCTGTTCTAAGAGCAGTGTAGATGACAGCCAAGTTGTGGCACCGATGGCAGGGACACAGACAGACTGGGGTGTGATCTGAGAGGCTGGCTGGACAACATTGGGTGACTTATTAGTGTAGGGTGCTAGGGAGAGGGAATTGCATGTTCCTTCTACATGTGGGGTGAGAGGGCTCTCTTAGAGGTGCTTGTGGAAAGTTAGTGGACTCCACATCCAAAGTTCCAGGAATGCGGGGTGGAGGTGACAGATTTTGGGAATCATAGTGTGCAGATCCTTAGATCGTAGCCTCAGGAATATATCAGATTTCCTGGGGATGCTGAGAGGAGAAGGGGGCTCACTACACAGACAGGGCATCCCAACCTTTGAAGTAGATAGGGAAAGACTGGGGTGGCCTCACAGTGGCTGAGAAAGACATGGACTTGAGACAGGTCCAGTGGACAGTAAGGGAGGCCTGTAGGGGGACAGAGATAGAGGAGAGGTGAAGAATTGAAAGTGGCGCTTAACTGTAGAATTGTTGAGAGATGGGTATGATATGAAAGGAGAATTTTTCAAGATGGGAGACTTGTGTGTTTAGATGCTATGGGGAGAGTTGGGGTCAGTAAAGGGAGAAATAGCAAAAGAACATCTCCTGAGGCAGCATCCCTGGGAGAGCTGGGGGCGGGGGGTATGGGGGGGCCCAGAAATCATTCCATAAATTGTCCACCAGAAGGCCCATGCTAGACCTGAGCAGTAACTAAAGCTCAACCACAGCCTCAGTGACACCCTCCACCCCGCTGCTCTCTTCTGACTTTGTCTGAAGTCTGAGTCCCCTAGGAGTGAGACTCCGGAAGGCTGCAGCAGTACATGGCACTTGCAGACCAGACAAGGCCCAAAGGCAGAGAGGAGTCCATCCATCCTGTACCTTTCCCTAAAGACCAGTCCTCCTGTATGACCACTTTGCAGGTTTAGGGGCTTGCTAGATGGCCATCCAGCTGGGTCAATTGCACGTCTTAAGAGTGAAATGTAGGGCCTCCCTGGTGGCGCAGGGGATTAAGCACCACACTATGAAGCAATCCACAGCTTCTGCAGCACGAGTTCGATCTCCAGCCGGCCAGGGAGCTACCCACATGGCGCAGCAGACCTCTCCTGTCTCGCCCACTGCTCCCCTCAGCAGTTTCAGTCAGTCTGCCTGTTCTGTTCCCTGCTCTGTCTCTGGTGAATCCTCCTACCCCCTGTGTCTCTGGCCTGTGCCCCAGCTCTTATATTCATAAATAAATCAGTCTTTCAAAAAAAAAAAAAAAGTGAAGTGTAGCTGATGGGACAGTGGCAGAACTTCGAGCTACCTGCTGAGGAGACTGGAAGGGCTGATTCTCCCAAAGCAGCTATGACCTGCATTCATCAGTTCAGGCCTAGGTTAAGTGTTAGAAGGTGCAAGCAAATAGACTGGGGCCAGGACAGTGGGTAAGATTAGGTGCCAGTAGAGGATGACATGAAGGTAGATGGGAACACAGAAAGGGGGTCTGGGAGTAGGCCAGGTAGGTGAAGTTGAGGACTGGGCTGACTTGGGTGGGGAAGAGGTAAGTAGGTAAGTGTCACAGCACGGAGGTCCTCTTGGAGATGGTGAGCATAAGGAGGGGGAGCCCCTAAATCTGCCTGAGAGGTGACCAAAGAGATACCTCCTCATGGGATCCCCTTCTTCCTCTCCTGCCAGTCATCTGCAAGCAACAGGGTCCAGAGCTGGAGCCGGCCACTGCCCTTCCCCCCCTGCCCCAGCCCCCGCTCGCTCCTGCAGCACCCATCCCACCGGCCCAGGGCGCCCCATCTATGGATGAGCTTATCCAGCAGAGCCAGTGGAACCTGCAGCAGCAGGAGCAGCAGCTGCTGGCCCTCAGACAGGTATGTGGTATCCCCCTTTCCTTCATCTATTAGCCCTGAGATAGGGATCCTGTGACAGGTGTAGCTGCTCCTTCCTCCCTTCCCTTTACTCACCAACGTCGAGATAAGAGCCTTGAGTTACCGTCTCTCCCTCCCTTTTGTCTGAGGTGGGTACCAGGAATTCACCCTATGCCAGTCTTTGCAGCTGATTATTGGGACTAATAAGGCGGTCAGCAGGGTCATTACCATACATCACTGCCAAGGACGAGGCTGCTCCATGTCCAGGTATACATCAGCTGCTGTCACCTCAGTGCTGCCACCACCCATGGTTTAGCAGGACCACTGGCCCTGGACAAGATTTCTTCTCATTCTAGTGAAATCATTGCATGCTCTTTGACTCATGGGCTCAGGCAGATGCCTACAAGAATGTTGGAATTGTCTAATGCCATTAGAATTGTAACTGAGCTCAAAGTACCATCTAGAGCCATGGGCAGTGGCAGCTCCTCACTAGGTCACCCCAAGCTGTCATGAGGAAGGGCCCTTTGTCCTGATCCACCACAGTAAGATATTTTGATGAAATACAATCAGATGAATTGCCAGCTAAACAAGATAAATAGAAATGAGACTTATAAAACCCAGTGCCTCTTTTATTACTAGATTCAAAACATGATGTTATTGTCAGACTGTGAAAACAACGTTCCCGAATGCTCACCTTCAGTGTCTGCACACCACACGTAACTGTGCAGTCGAGTCCTACAGCCCTGAACTGACCCTGTCCCCACAGTGGCAGGAACTCAGCCATCTCTCATTTTTGCCCATCTAAAGGAGTAATCCTGATGTTTTGATCTGCATTTCCCTGATTATTAATGAAGTCCCTGCCTGTCCTAACTCCTGGGGACCATTGATATGTTTTCTCCCTGGTGGTTCATACCATCACTCATTTTTCTGGTTTTGTTGAATTGATTTGTGGGGGTTCCTTGTTCCTCTGGGTCTAACCCTTTCCATCGCCTATCTCTGGGTCAGACATCATCCCCTGCTTTGTCCTGTCCTGTTTTGACCTCTGCCCACCATGTTCCAGAAGCGTGTGTAGGCTGCAGTGTAGGGAGGCAGCTGAGGCCCCTCCTCAAGTATTTGGTCCCCCTGGTCCCCTAGGAACAGGTCACAGCGGCCGTGGCACACGCAGTAGAGCAGCAGATGCAGAAGCTCCTAGAGGAGACCCAGCTGGATATGAATGAATTTGACAACCTGCTGCAGCCCATCATCGACACATGTACCAAGGATGCCATCTCGGTGAGCTTAACGGGGGCTTCCGGAGACACTTCTCCTAAGGTACGCCCCACAGCCTTCCTGGGCCAGATGCTCTCAAGGCTCCATCTGCCCCCTTCTTCCTTCTTCAGCAGCTTGGAGGGGCAGGACAGACATAGGCAGGTTGGCTGCTCCTAGCTGAAAGGGGGCAGGAAGGCAGGCAGAGGCCATGGCGTGGAAGGTGAATCTGCCCCCCTGTGCCTCACGGAGCTGCCCCACTTACCCAAACCTGGCTGTTGCAGGCCGGGAAGAACTGGATGTTTAGCAATGCCAAGTCCCCACCACACTGTGAATTGATGGCTGGCCATCTCCGGAACCGCATCACAGCTGATGGGGCACACTTTGAGCTGCGGCTGCACCTCATCTACCTGATCAATGATGTGCTGCACCACTGGTGAGGCCCACCTCCCCTCTTCCGCTCCTGTCACCCATCCAGGATCATGGGGTCTGTGGATGGAGACTGGGTCACTTAACCTTAAACAGGGAGGGCACTCTGGACCAGAGCCCTCCGTGGGGAGTATACCCTGCCTCCACACCACAACGCCTTCCCAACCCCTCACCTTACCTGGAACTCTTCCCTCCTGGCTCTAGGGGGCAGTGTCTCAGCACTTCCATGTTTCGGCTGCTCCTTTTCCTGATAACATGTACCCATCAACTCACTCCTCTACTTCAGGGTCCCTCCCACTGGGTCTACTTTGCTGACCTCTGTGCTACCTTACCTAGCCCACCACCTCCCCCCACCCCACATACCACCCTTCCAGGGCCAAGTAGTTTACTTCTGCACAGCCTCCATGGGTCCTAGTACCAAAGGCTAATAGGAAACTGGACTTAGGGGCCAGGGGCAGCAGGGACAAGAGGCCACAAGCACATGATGGTGGTGGAGCTGGTATAGCCATGAGAGCTGCCTGATACCTAGGGCTTTGAGCTTGTCCAAGCCCCCTTAGATCCTGTCGTACCCAGTCTTGTCCCATTTGCTATGTGACATAGGTAACTCCATTTCACTCAGCTACTTCCAGTGTCTTTCCTTGAAACTCCATAGGGAATAAGCGGCCCCTTGTGACCTTCTCTGCTCCTGCCAGTCCTCTCTGTCTGCAGGGAGCTCTGCAGCCATATTCTTCTTGGTCTTTGCTCTGTCCTCCCACAGGACTACCTCCTCTCTGAGCTGGCTTCTAGTTGGGCACTCACTCTCTCAGCTCCCCAGCTTGCACAGCACCCAGAGAGTTCCACCTGTTCACTTTCTGCCCCACATCCTCCCCAGGAGACAATCATTTGGGTTCTGCCACTATCCTGCTGGGTATCCTTTGGGCCTCTACACCCTTTTATGCACCCAAAGGGGATGGAGCCAATTGCCTCACCTCCTGGGCCTTGGGTTCTGTTTCTAAGGCATCCTAGATACCTGGCATGCCTGCTATACTCCCTCTGCCTCCTGAAAACTGGGGTCCCCACTTGGGTCTACTTATGCATAGGGGGATGGTCCCAAGAGGCTGCACAGACCAAGCCTGAGCCCCTGGCAGCCCTGATGTCCTTTGTGGACAATCAGGCTCTTAGAGGCCCTGTGTCTTTCTCTCCTCACTGCCACCCCAGAGGGAGGGGAGGGGTTCTTCATTGATGAGGAAACCAGACTTCCTTCCTCCCATCTGTCCCTCAGGCCCAGGCCCCCAGCACAGGTCCTGTGGGGAGCCCAGCCCTCGTCCCGCTGGGTTGGGAGCCCATGTCCCGAAAAGGCAGAGGGTGCTGTGGCTGGAGCCACGATGGTAACGGGCGCGTGGCCGGGTCCCATCCCAGGGCCCTGACGCGCGGAAGGTCTCTCCCTCACAGCCAGCGCAAGCAGGCCCGGGAGCTGCTGGCTGCCCTGCAGAAGGTCGTGGTGCCCATCTACTGCACCAGCTTCTTGGCTGTGGAGGAAGACAAGCAGCAAAAGATTGCCCGGGTACACAGGGCAGTGGGGTGGTGGTGGGAGAGGGGCAGGGGTGTGGGATCCTGCTTCCCCTGACACGACCTCCCCTCCCTATACCAGCTTCTGCAGCTCTGGGAGAAGAATGGCTACTTCGATGACTCCATCATTCAGCAGTTACAGAGCCCAGCCCTGGGGCTAGGCCAGTACCAGGTGCGTACTGTGCTCAGCACGCTCCCAAAGTTGGGGCCCATGGCTCCCCTGGGTTGAATACAGTGGTGTAAGATGGCATTAAGCAGTGGGGAACCCAGCCCGCCTGCAGGAGCCAGTGAACCTCTCTCAGGGGAGCCTGCCAGACTTCTGGCATGCGTGTGACCAGGTTGCCCAATTTGGGCACAAGTCTCTGTGGTGTCTTCCACTGTTTGCTCCCATCTCCTGGTTGTAGTCACTTTGTGCAGTGTCCCCTCTTTGCACTTGTGGCAGCAGGTGTAATTCACCCTCTTGTCATGAAGGATCTGTTTTCCCGCTCAGGCCTGGTTGGCTGAGTGTTGTCCTTTTCCTCTGTGATGGCCCTAAATGCCATCCTCCCACAGGGGAGTAAGTTCTAGGATGTTTGTTGGCAATGTGCTTTAATGACTGTGTGACAGCCCACCGCTGGCTGTCATGCTGATTCCCACTCTTGGGGAATTATAAACTGCACTGCAACACACATCACAATCACCAAGTCTTTGACTGGATTTGGGGCACTCAGGTTGTCAAGATCATATTGGTCATTTTATGTGATAGTCATCCCCTGCTCCAGGCTGCATGCCACTTCCCTACCTCCCTCCTGGGAGGCAGTTCCTGAAGGTGTGGGACTGCAGGGAGTGCCAAGCCCTCTAACCCCCCTGAGTTCCACTGCTCTCTTTTTGCTGCCAGGCGACACTCATCAACGAGTACTCCTCGGTGGTGCAACCAGTGCAGCTAGCCTTCCAGCAACAGATCCAGACCCTAAAGACGCAGCACGAGGAGTTTGTCAACAGCCTGGCCCAGCAGCAGCAGCAGCAGCAGCAGCAACAGCAGCAACAACAGCAGCAACAGCAGCAACAACAGATCCAGATGCCGCAAATGGAAGCCGAAGTCAAGGCCACCCCTCCACCACCTGCCCCACCTCCAGCCTCTGCGCCTGCCCCATCTATCCCACCAACTACACAGCCTGGTATGTGGCCCCTCACACTCACCCCTGGGAGGCAGCCCCAGGAAAGCACCCTGCTCCCCCAGAGGAGATTCTGTCCTATTGGGTCCCATTGTAGGACCAGATCTAATCTGTTTGTAAGCACTAGGCAAGGTAATTTCAGTTTATATCCAGTTCCTTACAACTGGGACAATACTATTCTGTATTAACAGTCCCAGAATGCAGATAGAGAGGAAAGCTACCAAAGTCATTTTTGAGACTAGGAGAATTTTTACACCAGATGAACAAGGACAGGGAAAGAATCCCAAAATAGATTCCAGGATATCTGAACAAAGGTGCAGAAATACTAGATTGAATCTTAACAAATGAAATCCAGCAGAGTATTTAAAAAATATCTGGCCAAATAGGGTTGTTCCAGCAGTATATAAGGATAATTTAACATAGAAAGTCTAATAAGGTGATGGGTCTCATGGGAAAAGAGAATCTTTTATCTAGAGGCAGGAAAGATATTTAATAAAACTCAATGATTAAAAACTTCCAAGTAAATGAAAATGGACATGCAGAAGGAGGGTGTTTACAGTAAAACTTTCTCAGAAGGGCGTATGTCCTGTGCAAGGATTTATTTGGAAATAAATTCCTTATCTGGGTTGACTGGGGGTGGCTGTTGCTGCTAGGCCCTTCTGACTAACTGCTTGCCCGGTTATAGATGACAACAAGCCTCCCATCCAAATGCCTGGTTCCTCCGAGTATGACACCACAGGAGGGGTCCAGGACCCTGCCACTGCTGGCCCCCGGGGCCCTGGACCCCACGACCAGATCCCACCAAACAAACCCCCATGGTTTGACCAGCCTCACCCTGTGGCTCCTTGGGGCCAACAGCAGGTATTTCTTATTTTTTTTTTAAAGATTTATTTTATTTTATGCATACAAGAGCCAGGGCACAGGCCAGAGGTGTCGGGGGTGAGAGGATTCACCAGAGACAGAGTGGGGAACAGAACAGGCAGATTGACTGAAGTACACTGCTGAGGGGAGCAGCGGGCAAGTCAGGAGAGGTCTGCTGCGCCATGTGGGTTGCTCCCTGGCCAGCCAGGGGATTGAACTCATGCTGCAGAGGCTGCGGATAGCTTCATAGGTTGCGTCTTAACCCCTTGCGCCACCAGGGAGGCCCCAGCAGGTATTTCTTAAAGCTTATGGTGGGGACAGGTGGGGCAAGCTTGGGCCTGAGTGGAGCCAGGCAAGTGGGTGGCAGTCTCTGCTGATTAATGGGTTTCTAGTGGTTCACCAGGCAGGGGCAGCTGTGTGCCCCTGCTGCCTTGGGAGTCTGGGCACAGAGATGTGGGCAGACACCATGGCACTGCTCATAGGGTCAGTCACCTGATCTCATATACCTAGAGCAGTACCTGACTGATGGTGGGCCTGCCGCCCTCGCATGCTGGGGTTATGGTCAGGCCAGCTCTGTTGTGCCGGACCCACAGGGGCTCATGTTTGCTTTTTGCCTTGCAGCCTCCCGAGCAGCCCCCCTACCCGCATCACCAGGGCGGGCCACCCCACTGCCCACCCTGGAACAACAGCCATGAGGGCATGTGGGGTGAGCAGCGGGGGGACCCCGGCTGGAATGGCCAACGCGATGCCCCATGGAACAGCCAGCCTGACCCAAACTGGAACAGCCAGTTCGAGGGCCCCTGGAACAGCCAACATGAGCAGCCACCCTGGGGTGGGGGCCAGCGTGAGCCACCCTTCCGCATGCAGCGGCCACCGCACTTCCGGGGCCCCTTCCCACCCCACCAGCAGCACCCACAGTTCAACCAGCCGCCTCACCCGCACAACTTCAACCGCTTCCCGCCCCGCTTCATGCAGGATGACTTCCCCCCACGGCACCCCTTTGAACGACCGCCCTACCCTCACCGCTTCGACTACCCTCAGGGGGACTTCCCTGCCGGTGAGTTCAGGGATTGCTCAGCCCCTAGTTTCCTTAGCACAGGTCCTGTGTGCCAGGCCTCGAGAGCCTAGCAGGTGACTGCCGGTGTCAGCGTGATCCCTGGTGTGTCCCCCAAGCAAAGTGACAGGCAGAGCTGGTAGGGTGATTGAGAAGTCAGTATAGAACCCCAGAAGGTGGGAAGACTCCAGGAAGGAGAACTGAGAGCCTGGTGGGCCCAGCCCATTACTACACCCTGGCACAGGGTACCATCTGTCCTTCGGGCAGGGGCAGACAGGGTCTCTTAGAGCACACAGGCAGTGAGTGGGACACCATCCTTGTTTTGTGGGTGTTCTTTGGCTTTTCTATAGCTTAGTTTTTTGAGAGGCTCTCTGGTTTTGTTGATTTTCTTTTTAAAAATTCCTACTCTTAACTGTTTCTATCTTAATTTGTAAATCCATCCTTGACTGAATTCAGCTTGGAGACCATTTAGCACATTTATATTACATGGTTTTGTGAGTTTGGGGGCTACTAGAACGTAGCACCAGAGACAAGCAATGTGCATAGCAAGCATTTAGTCTCTGCCCTGCAGGCTGGAGGTCCAGGATGAAGGTGTGGGTAGGGTGGGTTCCTCCTCTCCTGGCTTGTTTTCCTCATGTCCTGTGGGAATAAGGCTCTCCGTGTATGTCTGTATCCTAGTCTCCTTCTCCTAAGGACTCTGGCCAAATTGGTTCAGGGCCTCCCTCCCTCTCCAGGACCTCATTATAACTTATCACCTTTTTAACAGCCCTTTCTTCAAATGCAGTCATGTCTGAGGGACTAGGGGGGTGAGTTTGAGGGAGCATTGCTGTTGTTTGGTTCTGGGATTTCCCTGTGGGTCTCTTGGGAGCTGCTGTGGGTGCTGGCCAGACTTCTCAACCGGGCTCATCCCCCTCCTACATCGCCCTGCAGTGAGTGAGGCAGCTGGAGAGGTGTCGGGCAGGGCTACCGGTAAGTGGGTGTGGGCATCCTTGCCCCTCTGCTGCTTTCTACCCGCGGGCACCTGTCACTGTGGAGAGCTGTGTTGCTCCCACCCGGCTCACAGCCTCCCACAGACCTGAGACCAGTGTCTCTCTTGCAGAGATGGGCCCCCCGCACCACCACCCTGGCCACCGCATGCCTCATCCTGGGATCAACGAGCACCCACCCTGGGGGGGGCCCCAGCACCCTGACTTCGGCCCTCCTCCCCACGGCTTCAACGGGCAGCCCCCCCACATGCGGCGACAGGGCCCTCCCCATATCAACCACGATGACCCCAGCCTGGTCCCCAATGTGCCCTACTTCGACCTCCCCGCTGGGCTGATGGCCCCCCTTGTGAAGGTAACGTGTCACAGCCATGCATGTGCTGTCTCCATGTGAAAATTTGTGAAGCAGTTCCCAACAGGCTACAAAATGCTGCTTCCAGGCCTCTCCCCTCACATTCCCTCCCCAGTGAACTTGACTGGCCAAACATTATGCCCAGCCCAAGGTCTTTGTCTCACTCTGCAGAGACAGTGAGCAAGCCCATGTCCTCTATGCCTCTGTACCCCTCAGAGTGGGCTGGCTCTCAGGAGTCCTGTGTCCAGGGGCTGATGGCAGAGGGACTTAGAAAGGGGCAATCTGCAGACACAGATACCAGGGGAGAATGGCCTCAAGCCTTTGCTGTGGAACCGTTGGCAGTGTCACTGCCACTTCTGTCCTAAAATATTGTCAGACAGGTAGTTGAGAACGGTCAGGTGGGGCAGCTGGAAGCAGAGGGGTTTGGGGGCAATGCTTGGGGTAGGAGGTAGAACAGAGTATACAGCCTGGCAAAGGGCTGACGCTGGTCTGATCAAGATGGGACCTGGGGTAGAAGACGGAAGCATTGATACCTGGGCTCAGTGGCACATCTGTGGATAAACTGAGGGTTCTTTCTGTCACAAGCTTGGAGACTGTGTCCTTGTATGTGCTTTCTTACAGAAGATTGGCTTTTACCAGCCTTAGAAGTTCCCCCAGCCTTCCTAGTTAGGAATGCATTTGGTGGGGCTGAAGCCCTACAAAGGGTTTGGAGTCCCTAGGCAGGGCAGGTTGAGGACCCTGGTGCCACCCTAACCTAAGCCCAGAACCCTGTCCTCCTGCTTCGCCAACTTCTGCAGTACCTGGGTGGGCCTGAGGGTGCGTCACTGGGCATAGTAATGACTGTGATCTCTTTGCAGCTAGAAGACCACGAGTATAAGCCTTTGGACCCTAAAGATATTCGCCTCCCACCCCCCATGCCGCCCAGTGAGAGGCTGCTCGCAGCTGTAGAGGCCTTTTATAGCCCACCCTCCCACGATAGGCCCAGGAACAGGTAGGGGCTTGAGGGACAGGGCTGCAGGGCAGAGGCGTCTCTCTGTCCCCTCTAGCCTGTCTTCCCAAGTTTGCTTCATGAGTCCCCTGACTTTCAGCCGGGCTGGGGTGAGGATGAGTGAGGACATGTGGAGGTGTCCAAGAGAAAAACCACTGCTTGAGTCAAGAAGCCTGTTTATCTTGGCTGTGGGCAATGTGTGTCACAAATGATGGCCCTTGATGGACTTTCTAGTTGGAACATGTTAGGACAAGAAGTCCTCTCAGCTGCTGCTGCATATACAATTTTGTCACATGGCTTTGTCATGTGGCTTTGTCACGGGGTCCCCAGGATACTCTACTCAAGCAGTCTCATTGCCAGGCCTGCTAATTTGGAACCCCTTGTCCCCAGTTACAATGACCACAGGCCATGAGGTTCCCCTACCTCATCCCCTTGTCCCCCAGCTATTTTGAGGAACCCGGGGGTGGAGGAGATGTGGAAGCTGGGGGAGTTAGTTGAGCACATGGTCTGGCCTCTCTGCCTGCTTCCTTGTCTCCGAAAACGCAACCATGGAGTGAGTGCCGGAGTACTTTTTGTGTGAGCTGTTCTCAGGTCCTGAGGAAGTAAGGATAGAGGCCTCACACCTGGGAGGCTGGTAGAGTGGTTTTTGTTCTTGTGGGAGGGAGACTGGCATAGTCACAGGCTGGGGGGACCCTGTCTTACAGTGAGGGTTGGGAACAGAATGGCCTCTATGAGTTCTTCCGAGCAAAAATGCGCGCCCGGCGGAGGAAGGGCCAGGAGAAGAGGAACAGGTGAGTGCTGTGCTACTGCATTCCTCCCCAGTTTCAGGGGGTTGTTAAGACCCTATCTTTGCCTACCCGACTTGTCATTGTGTCACTCTCTGACATGGGTAAAGGGAGGTCAGCTCTGTGGCCTCTGCTGGTTCAAGGAGTTACTGGGCATTACTTCTCATAAGGCCTAAGTAAAACCTGGAACACAGCATGGGAGAAACTTGTGCAATCTATATATTCAGCCAGGCTGTTGATGAGACGCCCTTATGTGGATGGGTGCATCTCTACTTGGGGTGAGGTGCTGGCTGGGCTCAACAGGCCTCTCCCCACAGTGCACCCTCCAGGTCTCGCAGCAGATCCAAAAGCCGAGGGCGTTCGTCTTCCCGCTCCAACTCGAGGTCCTCCAAGTCATCAGGCTCATACTCGAGGTCAAGGTCTCGCTCCTGTTCCCGCTCCTATTCCCGCTCCCGATCCAGGTAGGCAGGGCACCATCTCTTGGGGTTTGCAGCCTGGGGCTCCTGTGGCCCCCTGTAGATTAGATTGTGCTGACCACTGCATTGTCCTTCCCTCCCCACAGGAGCCGGAGCCGATCACGCTCCTCAAGAAGCCGCTCCCGCTCCCGCTCCCGCTCCCGCTCCAAGTCATACTCCCCAGGAAGGAGACGCCGCTCACGGTCTAGGAGCCCCACACCGCCGTAAGATTTCTGTGGTGACTTTCAGGTGGCCTGTTAGGGGCATGGAATCCTCCGAGGCTTTGCAGTGAATATGAATGTGTTAGAAGATGCGCTCAAGGCAGCACCCCAAATGCTACATAGCACAGTCTCCGTACCTCCTCTCACCAAGGTCCTGCCTTGTTATGGTTACACTGTAAAACCAGAGGCAGTAACTGGGCTCTGTGTTCTAACCATTTTAGGGGTTTGGTGTGAACTGCCCCTGTGCTAAGTGTGGGACAGGAACCCCCTTTCTCTGGCTGACAAAGCAGAAATGGACAAATGAGATGTGTTTATGTGTGTCCATGTTGGCCCATCTCCCACTTGTGAATACTCACAGCTATATAATTATATAGTTATAGCTCCTTGCTATAATTCTGAGGACTTTCATCCCAATAAACACATCGGCTTTTTGGTAAAAACATAACCTGTCTTCATTTTAGTTCTTCAGCCGGCCTGGGTTCTAATTCAGCACCTCCAATACCTGACTCCCGGCTTGGGGAGGAGAACAAAGGCCATCAGATGCTGGTGAAAATGGGTAGGTTCCCAGGAAGAAGCTGCTCCGGGCACTCAGGAATGGGGTATGATTGAATTGGGAGAGTTTCGACTTTGTGAGAAATTCTGAAAAGGGGGGTAAGCCAGCAGGGTTTCTGCAGGTTTTCTTACACGTGCCAGTTATACACCACCTGTCTGCATGTTGTGCAGTTCCCAGGGTGCCCCTGGGTCACCTTCGTAGGTAAATGCACCATAGTTTGCTTCTTTTGGGGATTATAACCACTTGTCCCCCTTTTTTCCTGAGGCTGGAGTGGATCCGGCGGCCTTGGTGTGAAGGAGCAAGGGATACAAGACCCCATCAAGGGCGGTGATGTCCGGGACAAATGGGACCAGTACAAGGGTGTGGGCGTGGCCCTGGATGACCCCTACGAGAACTACCGCCGAAATAAGAGCTACTCTTTCATCGCACGCATGAAGGCCAGGGACGAGTGCAAGTAGGCAAATGGCGGTGGCAGAGGGTCGGGGCCACTGGGCGCGCAGTCTCCATCTTTGGGGAGCAACAGGAGAGGGGACTGTGGCACACCTAGTGACAAACACCATGCCCAACAGTGGCAAGGTCTGGACTCCCCTACAAAGCAGCTCTGCCGCAGAAGCCAAAGGCCCACGAGATGCCCCAGCCCACATGGCGTGAGCTCACTGCCCATAACACAACCGGAGAACACAAGACCCTCCGCCCCAGACAACGCTTGACGTAGAAGGAACAAATGTGCCTCCCTTGGCAGGCAGACCTGAGCCTCTTCATCACGAGGGCGCATGTGGAGCCAAAGCAGACCAGCAGGACCATGAGACAGGCCACCCACCCACCTCCCCGTCCATGTGTAATGCTACAGCTCAGGCAGGCGCCAGCACTGCTCTATCTTTAGAAATGGAAAAACAAAACCTTTTTGATTTGTAAAGTTAAACAGCGTTTTTATTTTTAATCCCAAATGGTTTAATAGTTTTAGAAAAAAACAATTACTGATCTGAGATGACCCCTGTGAAAGATTGGGAGACCTGATTCCTCTGAGACATGCTGGCCCTTAGTTCAGTTATTTTAGTTGTTGAAGTTGAATTTTTTTTCCTGAATGTTAGCCATTTGCTATTACCTGCAGAAACAGGTTCTGAGGAAGCTGATCTGAGGCATCTGCAGGTTAGGGGATGATACCACAGAGAATCAAGCCCTCAGTGTGTGGTGTTACATTTTCTCTTAGGAGCCCGAGCACCAGTGCCCATGTGGTGGCCACTCAGATCCAATGTGGGTCTCCCCATCCAGTCACTCCCTCAGCCCCACCTACCCACCTGCCCACAGGGAGGCCAGGCCAACAGGGAGCCACCTCCACCTGAGCCACCAGTGACTGTCTGTGGGCAGTGTGATAAGCACCGCTTATTTGTACAGAAACATTTTTGAAAAATTCTTTTCAATAAGATGCAAAATCCTCTCCAACTTTTCAACCTGATGTGGTAAAATATTTGATTTTGTTCTAGATTTCCTGTAGCTGTGAACTGTTCAAATGTGTCTGATTCAGGATAAAACGTAAACACATGCTGTTAACAATTTCTTGTGGATTTTACTGTTTTGCCTTCAAATAAAGATTTTTTTTTTTAAAGACCTCAGTCTTTTTGTGTTTAAGTGACAAGTATGCTGGGCTTAGTGGGAGGAGGTGTGTTGAATGCAGATGGTGCCTGATTGTGGCCCTCTGACTCAGCCTGTTCTCTCAAGGGAGTCGCCACATGGGCACCTGGCCAGTGGCCTTGTTAGTCACATTAGTTTCATTAGATGGGGCTTGGAATTCCGCCATCTGCCTCACTTGTTAGGAAGCTAGCACTTGGTCAGGTAGAGCAACTCTATTGGGCCACTGTTGTATGGTGAACAGTCATAACTCCACCTGGAGGTTCATCTCTGCTAGCCTGTCTTGTGTCCTCAGGTGCTAGGTATACTCGGGGTGGGGCAGGCCTGTAAGGTCAGTTACTGACTTAGAAGAGGTTGAAGCCAAGATTGCTCAGTTGAGTCCCAGGCACCATCTGTCCCCACCACTCAATGTCACAATGGGAATGTGTGTGCATGTCAGGCGGCGTCCTGGAGCAACTGTGAGGTCAGACGAACTTGTTCTGCCTGACCTGGCATTCACAGCTCCTCCTTCACCTCCTTCAGCGCATCCTCCATGGTCAGCAGGGCAGGCCTGTGGTGCCGGATGTACTGCAGACCAAAGGACAGACAGACACATCACTGCCAGTCTACCAAGGCTTTGGGTGCTGAATGGCACCTGTCCCTTAAGGGCCAGGGCCACATAAAAGAAAATGGTAAGTGCCGTGTAACTGCTATGGAAATGAAAGAGAAACCCAGGTAGGCTCTGGGCAGGGCAGCCTGCAAGAAGTGAGCAACCAAGGCAGGCAGTAGAAGCTGACAGGAGTACATGGGGTAGGGAGAAGAGCCTGGGTGCCAATATCAGGACCTGGGCACAACCAGTAGCCGAAAGCCATGGTGGGCTATAGTCAGGGTTTCAGCCTGCATTCCATCAGCTAATGTATATCCAACTGGAGCAAGTTAAAGGGCCCCACACAGATCCAGATTCCAGAGGAACAACTTTTCTTCAACAATTTGCAAGAAAATGGGGCCCGGGGTGGTGGGGCGTGCAAAGAATAGGAGGAATAGGGCCTGTAGAACTGCAGTTCTCAAAGTGGGTCTGCAGCCTGCCAACAGTGGGGGCGGGGGCGCCTGGGCGGGTCACAGCACCTCAGGAAACAAAGTTGAGAACTGCTGCTCTAGATTAGAATCCTAACGGAAAAATAGGAACAAAAGGCACAATTTTGATGAGACAAGTAAAAATCTGAACATGATAATCAGTGATACTAAGAAAAGTTCATTTGGTTTGATGTTATAATAGGACTACGCATATATTTTAAAGTCCTTCCTGAGATACTTGTAGATAAAATGATAAAAGCCACCATGTAGAATGTTTGATGTAGCATGATGTCATTTCTATAAGGAAATATACATGTTACATACATTATATTATGTAAAATATTGTAAATAATATACATTATACATTGGGAAAATCTAAAGAATATAGATTGAATAGCTAATAGTTATCTCTGAAATTGTGGAGGACTTCATAAGTTACATCACTGAAACAAGCTTTTATAAAATAACATCTTTTATAATTAGATAAACACTAAGATTTTGGAGGAAAAAGAGATGAGGGTGACAGCTTTAGAGCCTTGGGCTATGGGATGGGGAGAGGCCCTGTCCAGCTGGCATTTGGGAAGGGTCTGTGGAAGGACAGGCCTTGGTGAGGAGACACACAGCTGAGCGGCTATTTTTTATGTCCCACCCGTCCAGACTATATCATGGACAAGGAGAAACAGTTGCCCTCACAGGGACAGGACTGGGCCACCAACCTCCCTCCCACGACAGGTGCTGTGCTGACCTCTTTGGTTTCCTCCAGTGTATGGTAGTGGAAGGTATCTTGGTCCAGGGACTGTAGGAGGGCCCTGTGCAGGTGCCGGCTAGATTCCATGAACTGCTGCGTCAGGTTGAGCTGCTGCTTCAGCAGGTCGTTGAGTGCGAACACAGTTGGGCTGTAAGCTGTCAGGGCTGCCAGACCCCAGTCACACTCATGCACTTCAGCCACACACCCTTTTCCCCTTAGTATATCAGAACGGAAGTATAGTCACATGCAGATTAATGACATTTCAGTCAACAAAGGATCACAGATATGACAGTGGTCCCACTAGACTGCACCATATAGGTTTGTGTAATTAGACTCTACAACATTCACACAACGTACTCTTCATGCAATTGCCCAACAACACATCCTGAGAACACAGCTCTGTCACTAAGCCACACACGACTGTAGTGAAGGCCCCACCTGCTCTGTCCATCCATCCGTCTGTCTCTGGTAAATGAACTGTGTTCTACTGACGTGTGCGTTTCAAGAGCTGTACGTGTCTAAGGCTTACTCCCAGGCAGCACTGAAAATCTTCACCTTAGAACCCAACACAAACATGTCTGGGCATCTAGCACCCAAAAATGTGCAACCGCATGTCATTCCAGTAAATCCTACTGAATTAACTGTGCACTTACTGGTGGCTGAGAGGGAAATTTTATACAATGCGTTTTTAAACGTAATTAAAATAATTTTAAGAATAAACTGTGCAACTGTTAAAAATGAACAATATTAAGACTACATAGTAACATGGAAAAATCTTTGAGGTTAAAGTACTTTGAGGTTAATAATAAATTTTGCAGGGTCTCCCTGGTGGCGCAGTGGGTTGAGCACTGCACTGTGAAGCTGTCCGTAGCCTCTGCAGTGCAGGTTCGATTCCTGGCCGGCCAGGGAGAAACCCACATGGCATGGCAGACCTCTCCTGCCTTGCCCGCTGCTCCCCTCAGCAGTGTCTTAAGTCCGTCTGCCTGTTCTGCTCCCCGCTCTCTCTGGTGAAGTCTCTCACCCTCCTGCACCTCTGACCTGTACCCCAGTTCTTGTATAAATAAATCAATCTTAAAAAAAAAGATTTAGAAAGGAAAAAAAAATTTTAAATAGTAATAATAAAAAATAAATTTTTCAAAAAAGAATGGAGTTTTTTTAAGTATATAAACATTTTGTTATAACCAGCATACTTTAATACCTTCATCTCAAAAAAAATGATCTTAAGCAAATTGAAAAGGTAAAACAATAGGTACTAGACTCTTCTTGTGTCATGAGAGCTGTCGGTCACCCCAAAGAGACCTGGCATAGTCGGGGCAGTCAGGCACCTTCCTTTTGCCTTAGGACAGGCTGGGCCTCCCCAGGGTCCCAAGATCCTTCAGACTCAGCAAGGATGCATGGTCCATGCTCCCTGACCTGGCAGCTGTTCAGTGCTTGCTAAGTATCTTGGGGAAAACCTGGGATTCTAGTCAAAGATTCAAAGAAGATCACACACACACAGTCCCTGTGGGAAAAGGGATTATAAGCGTGTTACGCAGAACCCTCCTGCTTAGTTTGACACTCGTTCCATTTGCCAGACAGGCTGAAGGCTCTTGGACTCTCTCAATCTGTCGACTTGGGATACCAGGAACTATGGCTGTGGCCCTTGGCTGTGACAATCCCCACCAAAGGGTTCCTCAAACTCAGCACTAATAGGGAACACCACACCTCAAAGGATGGATGCAAATCTGCAGGAGAAATGTGTCTTCCCCCAAAAGACCTGCTGAGTCAGGCAGTTACCTTCGATGGCATCGGCGCTGACCACATGACTGGCAATGGGCACAGGGTCCACGTAGGCACCTCCCAGGGCTGGCCCGATGGCTGCCATACCGGCCTCTGCCCAAGGATGAAGGGGGATGATGAGTGGGTCAGATTCAGTGCAATGACTTCTCAGCAACAGACATGCTGTTAAAATAAGCCACGTGGGGCCTCCCTGGTGGTGCAGCGGGTTGAGCGCTGTGCTGTGAAGCTGTCCACAGCCTCTGCAGCGCAGGTTTGATTCCCAGCCAGCCAAGGAGCTACCCACATGGTGCTGTAGACCTCTCCTGCCTCGCCTGCTGCTCCCCTCAGCAGTGTCTTCGGTCCGTCTGCCTGTTCTGCTCCCCACTCTCTCTGGTGAATTCTCTCATCCTCCCGTGCCTCTGACCAGTTCTTGTATAAAACCCCAGTTCTTGTATAAATAAATAAATCTTAAAATAAAATAAAATAAGTCAGGTGAATCTGTTCTTTCCTCTTTTTGACCATGACCATGGCCATACCCCTTGCTTTTTTAACCTCTCCCGCTTCAAAATTTTTTCCCAAACCTGCTTTCAACTTTCTGGCAGGTTCTCTGGCTCACAGTTGCTGGTGTACCACCGAGGCACTGTGCCCACCCACCTCTGCTTTCCTCTACAGGCCACTGAGGAAATGCTGCCTGGACACTACTGGTTGGTTTATTTGGCTGCCTTTTGTCTTTCTCTTTCTCTTTTCAACATTCCTAGTCTTAGGAAAATGGCATCACGTTTTATAGTAGTGTATCTTTAAATTACAAAAATATGGACAGAAACACACACTTGCTGACCACCAGCTATAACACAAGAAGGGCATCAGAGGGACGTGGAGAAGGCACAAGGGTTCTGATCACAGGACCAGGTTTCAATACCATAGAATCTGCTAACGATCTGACCTGGCACATCTGGTGGATTTTTCCTCCTTGGAAACGGGTCCCACCTCCAGCTGGTCAAGCTCCCCAATCAAAATTAATCTATCAGGCCAGTATTACACCCCCTTACACTGTCTAGCAACAAGCTGTGTATACATTGTGGGCATTCATCTAGAGGACAAAAGGAGCACAAGGACCCTAAAGAGTGTTGTGTCTGAGCACCTACCACTAATGTCCCGCCTCATGCCCTGCACACCCTCTCCTTGGCCCTGGGGGCCCCCTAACATGCCTACCTTTTGTCCACTGGTAGGTGAAGGCGGGTTCCAGGGTCTGCACAGCTGTTTCCTTCACAATGACTCTAGTCACGTCTCTGGCCTGCTTCTTCCGAGATTTGGGCACGGGTGTGGGAAGGCCAGTCTCCAGACTGGAGGAGAATTCAGAGCAGGTATCCAGTGTCCTGTCCAAGGGAGACTCCTCAGAGTGCATTGTCAGCTCAGAAGCTGTGGGGCTTGGAGAATTTTCAAAATCTTCTGAGTAGCCAGAGCTCACCGTGCTGGCTGTGCATGCCTGAGACATTGGCATTAGGCTGGCAGAGGGTGCAGACTGCTCACTGAGGTGCTCTGACACCTCACTTCCAGTGGGGGGGCCCACTGCCCAGGGGCTTTCACTAAATGTCTCTTCCCTCTGACCTTCTTTCTAAAAGGAAGAATAGCAGAGGTCACTATTAAGTGTTTTCCAATGGTCAACGTGCTCAGAACATCAGTGCATTAGGATGAGGTGTGGGGGGGCACATCTGGGCCCAGCAAGTAGGCAGGTCAGGCGTGGGGCAGAGTTCATTTCTTATAACTTGAGGTAGTATCAATTTCTAACAGTCTGAGCTTCAGGTGTACAGCCTGATATTTTGGCCCTTGCAAGCGAGCAGTGCCCTTGCAGTGCTTCAGCAAGGAACCTGAGAGCACGCCCCCCTCAGCAGTGACGGAGCACCCATGGCAGCAAGCAGTACAGTCTGTGAAAGTGTCATTATTATGGCCCACTGCCCCTCAGTGTCTGTGGGACTCGATTCCACGAACCCTTAGGACACCAAAATCCAAGGATGCACAAGTCCTTTATATAAAATGGTGTAGTATTTGCATAGAACCTACATTAAACTTCCCACAGGCTATAAATCATTTCTTGATATTTAGTTTACTGAGAGTTGTTTTATTTTACCATCGATAGATATTGGACTTTTTGAATACTCATTGCCAATTTATTGATTTGATCATATAGTTTTTCTCCTGTTTCCTTTTCAAATGTCAAGCCAACCTTCAATTCCTATGAGAAAACCCACTTCATCAAAATGTGTTGTTACTTGTATATATTGCTGGATTTAATTTTTTAAGGATGTTTTATTTTAAATTCCTAAGATCTATCTGTCCACAGTTTTCTTCTCCTATAATGTCCTTATCTGCCAAACTAAACATTCTATAAAGAGTAAAAATAACCTTGAATGCTGATGGACCAATAGATAATATTTTTAGACAATCATATTTTTAGATAATCAAAAATGAAAGGAATCACCAACTGCATGCATACTCAGACTAGAGAAAACGAGCAGTGGTTTCTTCAGACAGCAGGAAGCGCGTGTCAAACATTAGGGCCGAAGGTACGAGGGAGTGATTTCTCTCTCAATATTTATAATACCTGGGCCTCCCCTGGTGGCATAGTGGTTGAGCGCTGGGCTGCGAAGCTGCCCGCAGCCTCTGCAGCACCGGTTCAATCCCCAGCCACTGGCAAGGGTCCCACATGGCACGCAGACCTCTCCTGCCGCGACCGCTGCTCCCCTCAGCAGTGTATTTCATCAGTCTGCCTGTTCTGTTCCCCGCTCTGGCTCTGGTGAATCCTCTCACCCTCCTGCGCTTCTAACTGTACCCAGTGCTTGTATAAATAAATCTTAAAAAAAATTTATAATACCTGACATAATATAAATGCTCTGTATTGTTGAGAGAATTACCACAAGAGAAGTCTGTACATGTTCAGTACAGATGTGACCACAGTAGGTCTAACTACACAGTACAATAGGTCCTGGGATAATTAAAATGTTGCTGAGAAAAAAGAAATCCCACCAACACTGAGTGATGTAATGACATTACTGGAGGACCTGATTTGCTACATAATATTTCACTTAAAGTTGCAGTTTCCAAGAACCCACTCTACGTATTTTCCATTTGAGGTGGCTGAATCTGAGGATTTGGAAACTGCCACCGGGCAGCCAAATGTCTTATTAACATGCATTTGCTACTGAATTGAGAATAACTATTAAGAATAACTGGGGCTCTGCTGTTATGGGTAGTTTAAATGGGATCTGCTCTAATTCTGCATTAAATGGTTTTATCCTCTTATCACCTAAATCAGGATCTCTCATGGGGCACTTGACATTTTGTGCAAGGTGGGGCGGGGCATGTGCAGTGCAGAACGCTGAGCAACCTCCCTGGTGGACACCCACTTAGATGCCAGTAGTAACCCCGACCTGAGTCACCATATAAAAATGTCTGTGGACATCACCAGTGTCCCCTGGGTGCACAACTGCCCTAGGGCCTCCCTAGTGGTGCAAGGGGTTGAGCAACGAACTGTAAGGTTATCTACAGACTCAGCAGCATGAGTTCGATCCCCGGCCAGCCATGGAGCTATCCACATGGCACAGCAGACCTCTCCTGTCTCGCCTGCTGCTCCCCTCAGCAGTGTATTTCAGTCAGTCTGCCTGTTCTGCTCCCCACTCTGTCTCTGGTGAATCCTCTCACCCCCCAAACCTCTGGCCTGTACCCCAGTTCTTGTATCATAAATAAATAAATCTTTAAAAAAAAAAATGAACCACTGACTTTAATGAAGCTTGACCATTGCCTTCCTATGTAATGGCCTACAAGGAAAAATCAGTTAGCTATGCTTACCTTCTGTTTCCAATCTGATTTCTCACTGACAGCTGGAGTCAGATCATCAAGGGATAAAATATTTATCCTAAAATCTGTAATTAAAGATGTAACATGACAATGTTTACTCATTTATTTACTATATAAATGTTGACTTTCATGTTGTAGTCGGCAGGGCTGAGTACTAGGGACAAGAGACAGGAAACCTAGAAGGCTGACTCCACCAGCCCAGGCCACACACTTTCTCTAAAGGGCTGGAGGGTGAATGTTTATGACTCTGCAAGCTACACTGTCTGTCACAACTACCCTGTTCTGTCCCTATGGCACGCAGACCGGAGGTAAATGAATGGGCGTGGCTGTGCTCTGATAAAACTTTGTTAATAAAAACATGCCATGCCTCCTGGCCACTGGTCTAGAGAGATGATCATGACTCAGTGAAGCTGCACGGTCACAAGTGTGCACAAGGGAGGAGGGGGGGTAGAGACACCTCAGCAGACTTAAGATTGGACTCTAAGTGTTCCTAAGTTCTCATTTAAACCATGTTAAAGGCACTGGATCCTAAGGTGAAGGACCATGTTGGCATGCCAGCGAGCCCATCGCCAGAGACTGCAGACAGCGTTCCACAGAAGGCACAGAGTGGCCATGCCAGGTCAGAGGGGTCATGTCTCCCAAAGGACACAGGTTGTGAGTTGTGCCTCTAGGTATGGCAGGACACTGTCAGCAAGGACTGATGGCATCAGGGTCTTCTGTACAGGATACATGGAGCTGGGGGTGTTAGGATGAGAGGAAGAGGGACCTGATCACCCGTCTGGGGAGGTCAGTGGAGTACAGCCCCAAAGGCCCACTGAAGGCCTGCAACAGGCCAGGACCCAGGTGGCATCCTACCTTATTGTTCCAGTCTGAGGGGTTCGTCCCTCCTCCAAGAACCTCTGACACTGAATGTAGGCACAGTTAGGTCCAAAGATAGGTTCCTAAACAAGCTTTTCAGTTGGCCCATGGCAAAGACCCTAAGGTAGATTTTGGATTTGAGCACTTTGGAACAATGTTGAGGAATAATGACATCACTTCCACATTGGCCAACCCTTTCAGGCATGCCTTTACTGGGAAGGACTGGCTGAGGTGCTTCACTCTCACTGACTTGAATCTGGCCCCGCCTTACAAATGGGAGAACTGCGGCACAGAGAACCCAAGACCTCAAGGCCAGTAAGAGGAGGATCAGGATGTCCATACCAGGTATACCAGACCCCAAACTCAGATTTTCACTCACCTCTCCTAGCTGCCTGCCTCCCTCAAAGCTGCATCTGGATAAGGGAGGGCAGGGAACAGGCACCAGGAGAGGATCCCCAGGCCAGTATTGAGGGCTCAGAGGTGGCTTAGCTAGGCAATATGGACAGATGGTGGAGGGCAGGGGCCCAGGCCTGTCCTATCAGCCTACAGCTACCTTCCTTCTTACCCAGGGAGGTGGCCTGGATCAGGCTAGCGAGAACACCCATGTATGCCTCTCTGGCCTAAGATGGCAGTCCGTGAAGGGACTCAGAGGATTTCCTCACATGTGTAGCCTAGACTCCAATCCACTGCATTCTCTGACCCTCACATGGGCACATGGAAGGGACACACCTCTGTTGGTGTTGCTTCTCCCCCTCTCTCACTGGGTGCCACCTTGGCATACTAAATATTTTAAGCTAAAGAAATCTGAAGCACACAGGAGTCTGACCTTCACCCCTGAGACAGATCTTAAGATGCCACACCAGGTATCCTGGGCGTGCAGATGGCGTCGCCTGGAACTTGAGCGGCCGCACGAGGGTACCCAAGACAATGGCCAAGAACAAACTAAGAGGACGTAAGTCCAGGAATGTATTTCACATAGCCAGCCAGAAAATCTTTAAGGCTAAAAAACAAAGCAAAACCAGTTATGACTAATCTGAAGAAGATAAACATTGTGAATGATGAAAAAGTTAATAGAGTGAATAAAGCTTTTGTAGATATACAAAAGGAACTTCTACATTTCTCAAAAGGCCTTTCTCTTGAACCTCTGCAGAAACAGCTGACTCCTCAGCAGTGTCATGAAAATGAACCAGTTAATGTTGATGAAGCTACAAGATTAATGGCTCAGTTGTAATACACTGATGATGCATCAAATTCCCAAGAAAAACCCAAACAAATAAATTAAATGTTTTATACAGAAAAAAAAAAAAAAAGATGCCACACCAGGCCTCCCTGTGCCTGGAGGAAGAGAGCCTCCTGAGCCAAGAGCAACATGGACAGGAATCTGGATGATGCAGGCCTAACTAAGTTTCCCTGCTTTACTGCCCTTAGTTCATTTTCCTTTGCCCTTTGACGTTGTCCCACACCTTTCCTATCTTCGAATACTCAGGTTTTCATTTCCTTATGAAGGTTTCCATGTCACTTAAAACTTTCACAGTCACGTGTCACTTAATGATGGGAATACAATCTGACACATGTGTTGTTAGGGGATTTTGTCATTTTATTAAAATGCATTAGCAGTGGATTTTGTATGATGAGAGGCCATGATGAGCAAAACAACCCGAGGCCAAATGGACTAAATGAAGCACAAGGAACAGATGCTGTCAACATGACATGTGAGAGTTGGCTGCTGGTGTGAAAGGCTGTGATGGTATGACAGCTGTATGTCATTTGGCAACAGGAATTTGGGGACCCCATCTTATATGTGCATGGTCCATCACCAACTAAAATGTTATGGATACATGACTGCATTAATGATTATTCACTCTCTGTGGGCTTTTCTCCTGTCAATGTTTGAGCCCTAGGAAAGCAGGTAAAACTGTTAGGGGGAAAGGATGTTCTGAGCAAACTCCATATAGGCTTTGTAGACCCCACCCCCACCCCATCAAGACACTGGGAGCTACAAATCCCATGATCCCCAAAGGGAAGCTTGCAAGGACCTGAGGGCAAAGTTAAGCAACTATGTTCTCTGTCGTTTTAACAGGCCATTTGGCCAGCAGTTGCTCTCTTGGCCACGCCTCGCACTAGGTTTTTCGCCAGCTCAGCGGGTCAGCGCTGACCTGATTCCAGGTCAGCGGAACAGTAGGACGCATTTACGAACTTTTCTCCCTCTTTTCTCCCTGAGTTATTCATTTCCCATTTCCCCTTCCCTTGTAAATAAGCCTTTTATTTACCTTTTGTGTGTGTCTGCAGTTTAGCATTAATAAGTCCCCTTTAAGCGTGCGGGTGAGGACCCACGGTCAGGCAACCCGTTTCATATTGGGGTTGCTCTGTAACAAAACTATTTTCCCGCGCACACACACATGGTCATGCGAGTCTGTAACTGTACTTGGACCAGCACAACTGGCATGTACTGGAACACATCATGCTCTCAGACAGAGTTTCTAAATGAGGGAAGCATCCCAGGTGGAAGAAATCAATACAGGTATCTCACCTTTGTTCTTCCTCCTCTTTCTTAAATACATGCAATGTTAAAATAAAAATATTGCTGACTAATGTTAAACTATTAATAGCAGCAATGTTTAATTGTGACTGGTTAGAGATTTGATTCCTTTTCTGAACTGAAACAGGAAAGGAGGCAAATTTCTCTTTACAAAAAGGCCAATTGAGCTGCCTGTCTGTGGTCTGTGGCTCTAAAGGATTTCTTCCTGGGATTACTGCTCCGTACTGGGTCAGAGTTACAGGATGAAGATTTTAAAGATTTAACTTGGCCCCTTCACCAGATTAGGGAGCTAGGGTGTGACTCAGCCCTCCATGAACTCCCTGTGGCCAGAGCCTGTGACCACCACATCAGGGCCCCCTAAAGAGCCTCCTGCTTCCTGCCCGAGGTGACCTTACACAGGGACATTGGTTACCGTTCAGGCTCTCATCAGTGGCTTTGGAGAGCAAGTCTTCCTGCAGCCCAGTCTCACTCCTCCCTGGTGAGGGTAAGTAGTCATCATGCCCCGTCTTGGAGTGCACTGACTTCGAAAAGGTACCAATGCCGGAGGCTGTGCCGCCAAAAGTGTGGGTCTGTGGGGAGTGAGTTCTTGAGCCAAGGCTTCGCAGGGTGCTGGCTGCTGCCTGGGATGTTGACACATGCGATGTCCTGACTGGTTTTGGGCTGGAAAGCTTCTCGCTCGGTAGGAAAAAGGCTCTTGGTTGAACTGGGATCTGATGCTACTTTGGCAGAAATAAAAGAAACAAAATTACCAAACAGCTGATAAATAAGTCCTTTATGGTGGACATCTGTGGCTAGCAGGAGCAAGAGCCTAACGCTTCCATGATCAAATCATTATCCCTCTCTCTGCTCTCCTCATTTCTTGAAGTCAAGGTACAACATTTGGACAAGATACTGTTGGGATTAGAAGCACTTCATAAATAATTAGAACTGTCACTTTTCTTTCAAGTGCACATTTATAATGAAACATTTTCTGTATCAGTGTGGATGAACATATGACAGCCTGGACCTCGACAGAATTAAAATCAACATGCAGATTTGTCCCTTAGAGCATAGTTTTCCCTTCCGTTCCTATCTACTAAGACAGCTATTAAAATACAAAAAAAAAAAAGTTTAAAAAACCCAAAATAAAAAGTGACGGCAAGGATGTAGAGAAATAGGAAGTGTTATACGCTGTTGGACAGCATATAAAATGCGGTAGCTGTTGTGGCTTTTTCTTTTCTTTTTTTTTTTTTTAGGCATTTTTTTTTTTATTTTATTTATTTGTTTGTTTGTTTGTTTTGTTTATACATGCACTGGGTACAGTCAGAAGCGCGGGAGGGTGAGAGAATTCACCAGAGCCAGAGCTGGGAGCAGAGCAGGCAGAAGGACCGAAGTACACTGCTGAGGGGAGCAGCGGGCGGCAGGAGAGGTCTGCGCGCCATGTGGGACCCTCCTCTGGTGGCCGGGGAGCAGCCGGGGATCGAACCGGCGCTGCAGAGGCTGCGGGCAGCTTCGCAACCCAGCGCTCAACCGCTGCGCCACCGGGGAGGCCCTGTTGTGGCTTTTTCTAATAACTTACACAGAGAATCCCCAGAGGACCAGTCATTCCCTCCAAGGGGTGGACCCAAAAATATTGAAAACAGGGATTCCAATGGTTATGTGTATTCAAACGTTCGCAGCCACACCATTCACAATCATTAGAAGGTGGAATAACCCAAATGTCCACCAATGGGTGACTAGATGAACAAACTATGGCCCATCCACACAGTGGGATAGCACTCAGTCACAAAAAGGATGAACCCCAAAAACATGATGCTGGGTGAGAGAAGCTAGACAGAAGGTACATGCTGTATCATCCCAACTCTATGAAATGTACAGAACAGGCAAACGCACAGACACAAAGCAGATTAGTGATTACCAGCAACCAGGGGAGGAAAAAACGGGGTGTGATTGTTTAATGGTAATGGGGTTTCTTTTTGGGGTGATGGAATGTTTGGGATTAGATGATGATGGTTGCACAATATAAAAAAAAGTTCTAAACACTACTGAATCATTCATTCTTTGGTAGTTAACTTTAGGTTACATGAATTTCACCTCAATAAAAAAAATAACTGATGTGTCCCAAATCTCATCCTGACAGAGCAGGCCCACAACAGTGCCTGTGACTGGCTGAAATCCAACCTTTCCTCATTAGACCCTTTTCTGATGGGTGCTCAAGTAGCCCATGGGTGACGGCTGCCTTCAAAAGCCTCTAGTACTATGACATCAAGGCACAAATACAAACTTGTTAAAAATAAATACAGGAAAAACCTTACCAAGAGTACTTTTATTTGTTCTTTTTCACTGACTGTGCTTCTGGTGCAACCCTGCTTCAGACATGTTTCTTTTTCTCTAGAAGACTCTATCAAACTTCCTAGCAGCTCTTTTACTTCCTCTTCATCACTGTCTGGGGAATCCAGCTTCCTAATAGGTTCTTTCTCTTTGGGTGTTTCAAAATTCCTCTTTTTCCCCAAAAGTGCTTCAGGAGATATATTTTCAATGGCTGGTTCTCTCTTCTTTAGAAACCTACTAACCCTCCCATTTGGAGGGTTGCTCTCAGTGACAGGTATTTCATGGGTTTGTTTCTGGGGGGTGTAGTCTGTATTCTGTGAAGAGAGTTCAGCTGTACTCCTGGGGGGAATTTTGTCTGCACTCTTTGGAAGACTGTCAGAGGTTTTGGGGTCAGATTCCATGTCAGACAAATCCCTCTGCAGCCTCCGGCTCATGATCTTGGTTTCTATCTGAGCCAGCCTGGAGAGCACGGAGTTGGCTCTGAGCTTTGAGGCAGTGGTTGGAGGTCTAGTAGAGGAGAACCTGGGCCCACTCCCCAGCACATTGTGTTCTTTCAGGAGTGGGGGTTTTTCGCCCACACTTTGGTTCCTCTTTAGAAATCTGCTATGCCCAGGTACTATTTTGGCAAGACTTCTACTGATTTTCAAGTTTCTGATTTCTTCCATCTTTGAATCTTCTAAGGAAATATCACTGAAATCACCAAAAAAATCATACCCAGGGTATCTGGTTTTTCTTGATGAAGTCATCCTAGGGAATAAAGAAAGCTTACAGTAAGAAAACCTAATGCATGTATTGTGCAGTCAAAAATCTCTCAATGCCTCCCATCACCTCAGGAAAGATCAAATGCCCCTCAGCCAGAGTCTGGCCAGAGCCTTCTCTTCAAGTCCAATGAGGAAAACGAAAATGACTGAATACCACTTAATGAACAGTTAAACACCAGGTCTTAAATGAGACATGTTACATATTAAACACAGGAGTCCATATTTCTCAGGTTCCAGAGGTGTGCCAGGTACTCTGCTCACAGCAGAATCTCATTTCATCTTTAAGAAGTCCTGTGGGGGCCTCCCTGGTGGCGCAGGTGGTTGAGTGTTGCACTGTGAAGCTGTCCGCAGCCTCTGCAGTGCGGGTTCGATTCTGGCTGGCTGGCGAGAATCCCACATGGCGCAGCAGACATCTCCTGTCTCATTCGCTGCGCCCCTCAGCAGTGTATGTCATCAGTCTGCCAGTTCTATTCCCCACTCTGTCTCTGGTAAACCTTCTGCTCATCTGGCCTGTACACTGGTTCTTGTATAAATAAATAAATCTTAAAAATTAAAAAAAAAGAAATCCTGGGGGGGGGGCCTCCCTGGTGGTGTAGGGGTTAAACTCTCAGTGCTATCAAGCTATCGCCAGCCACTGTGACATGAGTTTGATCTCTGGATGGCCAGGGAGCTGACCCCCATGGCGCAGCAGACCTCTCCTGTCTTGCCCACTGCTCCCCTCAGCAGTGTGTTTCAGTAGATTGGCTTGTTCTGCTACACACTCTATCTCTGGTGAATCCTCTCACCACCCCTACACCTCTGGCCTACACCTTGTTCTTGTATGCATAAATAAATAAAAATAAATCTTAAAAAAAAAAGTCTTGTGGACCGGTTACTATCATTTTGTCATTCACCTTCATTGAAAGTCACCTGACTGGTAAGCAGCAAAGTTAAATTCAAAGCTCAGATCTGATTACAAAGACCCTGCTCTCTCCTCTTGTGCTTTACTGCTTTATCAATTATCACACAACTATTCTGAATAAGTTCTGCTCCCCTGTTGCACCCCAGGTCAGGGCTCTGTCTTTATCCAAGTGTCCTCAGCTCTATCACAAACTTGCGGTGGAAGCAATTTATATATTTCCACCTGTATGAGTTGTACCGGTAATCTTATTTTACTTGGAAGTGTAAGAACCACTATCCTAGAAGGGGCAGGGGTGAGGGGCTATGAACAGACACAGCTTCCCACACCTGTCAAGATTCCTAATCCACTGTCTGCTGCCTATCATGTGTGCATGCAACGGTGCATATTACCAGAGTTTACACATTCCCTGAAAAAATCGGAGCAACCCACTGCAAGATTTACAAAACTTTCAAAAGATTTAAAAAACTTAAAAGGATGGAAAAATATGGCAAGTGTTTACTGCAGCCCTTTTAGTGAGGAACACCAAAATAGCAATGAAAATGTGGAATGCGGGCCTCCCCGTTGGCGCAGCGGATTGAGTGCAGCACTGTGAAGCTGTCCACAGCCTCTGCAGCGCCAGTTCGTTCCCTGCCGGCCAGCGAGATTCCACATGGTGCGGCAGACCTCTCCTGTCTCTCCCGCTGCTCCCCTCAGCAGTGTATTTCAGTCAGTCTGCCTGTTCTGTTCCACTCTGTCTCTGGTGAGTCCTCTCACCCTCCCGCGCATCTGCCCTGTACCCTGGTTCTTGTACGCATGAATAAATAAATCTTAAAAAAAAAAAAAAGAAAATGTGGAATGCATAGCCTGGCAATTTTATGTCTGGGGATTCGCTGACAATTATACTCTCAAACACACACAGAGATGTACCTTCAAGGAATGTACTCACCAAACACCTAAATCCACATGCAGAGACCTGGTGAAGTCCAGGACCCCCATGCAGACATGGAATATTATGCAGCCTCTTAAAAGGAAAAGGGGATATATTTGTGCATAAAGTCTCCAACATAATGGCATGTGAGGCAGAAAAGACAAGTATGGAGGCCTCACCTCCATTCTGTTTGAATAATTTGGACAGGCAAAGTGTTAATTTGATTTAAAAAAAAAATTCACTGTGAAATTTGAAAAGGCCTTTTTCCCATCCTTGCCTAATTGGGATTGCCAGATTAAACACAGACACCTAGTTATATGCATTTCAGAAAAATGGCAAACAATTTTTAATATAAGTAGGACACAAATATTATATACAAAAATATGTTCCATATTATACTGAGAATTATTTGTTTCTGCAAAATTCAAATTCAACTGGGTATCCTTTGAGATTTGCTAAATCTCACAATCTTTTGTCTCATACATTTTTCAAAGCTGAGCTCCTTAACCACCCTGTGTACTAAGAATGCCTAGCACGGGCCTGATCAATGTGGTCAGCGAATAGAAAACTACATACTACAAAAACACTGCAGAATTCCTTATTTGTATGCTGCTGAGCAAGTCATTTTACCATGTGCATCAACCTGCTCATCTGTAAAAAGGGACTAACAATTACTGCCCTGATAGAATTCCTGTGTTCAGAACAGGGCATGGAATAAACACTATTAAAGTTGAGATCATGATAATGGCAAGATTTGGACTGCCTATATAACACGTTAACTTTTAGCTTCAAGAATGTGATGAATGGGAAGTAGAGAGAGAGCTGGAATGACCTCAGCAGTTTTGTTAATATCTTTGTAGCAGCAGCTAGGAGATGACTCGGTCCAGGTCATTCTATAGATCAGAGTGGAGGCCTGACCACTAGACTAGGTTTTCTGGTATCTAATTCTTCTCAAAGTTTCCTGGGTTTCACATGGTGCAGCAGACCTCTCCTGTCTTGCCCACTGCTCCTGTCAGCAGTATATTTCAGTAGATCCACCTGTTCTGCTCCCCATTCTGTCTCTGATGAATCTTCTCACCCTCAACTGGCCTACACCCCAGTTCTTATATGCATAAAGAAATAAATCTTGGGCCTCCCTGGTGGCACAAGGGGTTAAGCACCACACTATGAAGCAATCCGCAGCCTCTGCAGCACGAGTTCGAACCCCAGCCTGCCAGGGAGCAACCCACATGGCGCAGCAGACCTCTCCTGTCTCGCCCGCTGCAGTGTATTTCAGTCTGCCTGTTCTGTTCCTCACTCTGTCTCTGGTGAATCCTCCCACCCCTTGCCTCTCTGGCCTGTGCCCCAGTTCTTGTATGCATAAATAAATAAATCTTTAAAAAAAAAAAGAAATCTTTAAAAAAAAAAAAAAGTCTCCTTGGGCCTCCCTGGTGGCGCAGGGGTTAAAGACAGCGCTATCAAGCTATTGCCTGCCACTGCAGTAGGAGCTGGATTCCCCTGCCCACCAGGGAGCAACCCACATGGAGCAGCACACCTCTCCTACCTTGCTTGCCCGCTGCTCCCCTCAGCAGTGGATCTGCCTGTTCTGTTCCCCACTCTCTCTGGTGAATCCTCTCACCTTCCGCACCTCTGGCTTACACTCCAGTTCTTGTATGCATAAATAAATAAATCTTTAAAAAAAAAAAAAAAAAAGTCTGGGCCTCCCTGGTGGCGCAAGGGGTTAAGACACAAACTATGAAGCTGTCCACAGCCACTGTAGCACGAGTTCAATCCCCGGGCTGGCCAGGGAGCAACCCACATGGAGCAGCAGACCTCTCCTGACTCTCCTGCTGCTCCCCTCAGCTGTGTACTTCAGTCAATCTTTCTGTTCCGTTCCCCACTCTGTCTCTGGTGAATCCTCTCACCCCCCACAGCTTATATCTGGCCTGTACCCCAGTTCTTGTAAGCATAAATAAATCTTTTTTTTAAAAGAGTCTCCTTGGGTTTAAAAATAAACCAATAGAAAATGATAAAGAGGGCACATTTTATGTAATGTACTATTTACTACAATTAAAATATATGTATTTTAAAAGCAATGAAATTAAAAAATAAACCAATGGCACATACATATCAATTCATTATGTTCTATACCTGAAACTAATATAATGTTATCTTTCAATTATACCTAAATTTAAAAATGAAAATAAAAATGGAATAAAATAAACCAATGGACAAAAGACCTAAACAGATATTTTACCCAAAAAAACATACAAATGGCTGATAAACACAGGAAAAGATGTTCCAACATGACTAGAGAAAAGCAAGTTAGGACCAGCATGAGATCCCACTTTACATACACTAGGATGGCTAGAACCAAAAATACAGATAATAACAAGTATTAGCAAGGATATGAAGAAACTGAAAGCCTCATATCCTGTTGGTGGGATTGTAAAATGGGGCGACAGGCAATACAGAAAGGAGTTTGGTAGTTTCTCAAAAGATTAAGCATAGTTGCCACATGATCCAGCAATTCCACTGCTGCATGGGCCAAGATAATTGAAATGTAGAGGCATACATTCACAATAGTTATTGTTTATAGCACATAAAATGGGGAAACAAGCCAAATGTACATTAACTAGTGAATGCAAAAGAACTAAGGTCCATCCACATGATGTCATACTATTCAGCAATAAGAAGGAACAGACAAATACATCTTACTTACACTGAGGGTAAGTAACCACATGCAAACACACACACACTATACTTCCATTTATTATTGTACAGAAAAGGCAAATTTAGACTCAGAAAGTACCGCGGTTGTGAGCTGAAGCTGGAGGTAGGTGCGGGATGGACTGCAAAGAGGCAGGAAGAATCTCTTTGGGAGTGATGGGAAAAGTGAAGTTGCATCGTGGTGAAGTTGCATCACTCGACAAATTCATGCAAAACAATGGAGCTGTACACTTCAAAAGGGTAGAATTGTATGGCTACGTAAATAAATCCTCAATAAAGTTGCTTAAAAATAAATAAACCAAACTCTGGACATGGTGGAGGGCTTCAGACCATCTAACTCTTCCAGAGCGACCCTAGTGAAGCAGGCTTGCGAGTGCGCCCCAGACAGGGTAATTAAGGCTAGAGGCGCGGGCAACCCTCCCAGCTCACCTCGAGAATGGGCCCAGTTTCCACGCAATTCCTTTCTTAAATCTGGTAGTTCGGCCCCGCAGCCTCCAGGTCAACCTCCTCCCAAGCTGTCCATCTACTGAAGCCACCAAAGCGCTCTGGCAGCACCCTTAGGCCCCAGAGGACCGTTGCCCCAGCAACAGTTCCAGAGCGGAAGAGACTACATCTCCCGGCGCGCACCGCACTACGAAGACCAATGGGGCTCCAGGTCACAATCGCCTGGCATCATGGGAGTGGTAGTTCCAGGGCTGTGTGCACAGCACCCCCACCGGGGACCAATGGTGTCTCAGGTCATAATCGCGAGGCGTGACGGGATTTGTAATTCTCAGAGAGTCCCGCGCGTCGCGAAGACCGCCAGGCGCAAAGGGGCGTTGCGAGAAGCGCCCTCCCCGTGAATGGCCGCTCCTGTTGTCTCTCTCTGGGCCTTTTGCGTGCTACGTGTGGTGTTGGCCACCGTCTACTTCCAGGAGGAATTTCTAGACGGAGGTGAAGGGGCAACGCCCGTGTTGGCAGAGGTGTAAGGTCCCCGATACCCCACTTCTCAACGGACCTCTCGAGTCACTCTTGACCCCGGCCTGTCTGTCGCAGCTATGTCGGTGGTAGTGAAACCTCGAAGCTGTGAAGCTTCGAGGGGTCCCTTTACCCTCCCTGTGACCCAAATTAACAGTTTTCAGCTCTAACCAATATTGTTTACCCCCACAGAGCGCTGGAGGAACCGATGGGTGCACTCTGCAAATGACTCCCAATTTGGCCATTTTAGACTCTCGTCAGGGAAATTTTATGGTCATAAAGAGAAAGACAAAGGTTAGTGTAGGAATCGTGAGAAAACACTCCCATACCAACTTTTCAAGGTAGGTGGGCCACACCCCTACACCTCTCACACTCATGTCACAGCTGAGGAATCTAAGGCACAGGTAGGGTCTAGTGTTGTTCTTGTTTACTCTTTCTCTACTTGCCAAAGATCACTCTGCCTGATAAGCGCTGTTCAAGAGTTTGGAGATCCTTGCCCTGCAGAGAGAAAAAGATTCGATAATAGATCTTGTTTTCACATTTTAAAAAATTGAAATAAAAGGTATATGCTGACAAGTGCACAGATCTTAGGGGGTACAACACAGTGAATGTTAAAAGTGTATATCCAAGTCAAGAAAGTGGCCTCCCTCAACTCCAGAGACCTCTCCCCTTTCCCCCTAGCCTCCTGATGCCAGTAATAATTTCTGTTCTGATTTCCTCTTAACTATATGCACTGCCTATTTTTATGTAGCCAGCAAGCTACAAATGGTTTTTACATTTTTTTAATGGTTGTGGAAGAAGTGAGAGGGCAATGGTATTTTGTGATACCTAGAGATTATATAACTTTCAATTAAATGTATGAAAATTTCGTTGTCCATAAATAAATTTTTATTTATTTTATTTTTAAAAAGATTTTTATTTTTTATTCATACAAGAACTGGGGTACAGATCAGAGGTGTGGGAGGGTGAGAGAATTCACCAGAGACAGGGCGGGGAGCAGAACAGGCAGACCGAAGACACTGCTTGAGGGGAGCAGTGTGCGAGGCAGGAGAGGTCTGCTGTGCCATGTGGGTTTCTACCTGGCTGGCCGGGAGTTGAACCAGCTCTGTAGAGGCTGCAGACAGCTTCACAGTATGGTGCTTAACCCGGTGTGCCACCAGGGAGGCCCATAAATAAATTTTTAATGGAACACTGCTATGGCCATTTGTTTACATGTAGTCTATGGCTACTTTCATGCTGTAAAGGCAGAATGCAGTAGTTAGGACAGAGACTGAATAACCCACAGAATCTAAAATATTTACTCTGACCTTATAGAAAAAATTCACCAATCCTTGATTTAGTTAAGTTTCCCTCATCACCACTTTCCACTCAACCTCCATTTGGCCCTATTACTCTGGTGTCCAGCAGCCTCTGACTTTGGATTGTGTGTGCATTGTTTTGTAAGATGGATGTTACTCCAAATAGTCAGAATTAGCCTATGTGAGGAAAATGGAGTGAAAATAAACATGTTGTTCCATGGAGCTTGTTCAAGGACTGGGGTTCCCACTTGAAGTCATTTGGGGATTTTTCCTTTCTCCAATCTGGGATCCTGAGATTTGGTACATTTCATTCACTGTAGCATGTGTCTACTTAGAGCACATGCAGGGCAAGGCACTGCGGAGAGGTCCATCCATTTATGGTCCCCTGGGACCATGACATAGAAGCCATGTATGGAAAGATGATAAAAATTTGTCAGAGATGGGAAGTAGTGGGAGACCAGGGAGGGGGGCGGGGGGATGTCAAGACACAGAGGGAGATGATGAATCTTAGGGCCTTAGGAATTGCCTGTATAATTGGAGTGGAGGGGGGGCATTGACTGCAAATTCCTTGAACAAGAGCAAGATGGGTTAAGAATAGAGGATGCAGGCAGCAATTCCTCTGCCCACTTGTGACTATGCAGGTGCTTCTTTTCACCAGCTCTCCTCTGCAGTGCAGCAGCTTCCTGCCTGCCAGTGACCTGTACCATGCCAGGACTGACCTCCCTCAGCGGAGGCTGCTCTCCTCAAGGCCGCCCGCCTGCAACCATGCAGGCCTCTCTTAGCAAACCTGTCCCTTTGGGGCTGCTCTTCCTGCCCGCTTGTGTCTATGCAAGTGTACTTTACTTTTCTGTCCCTTGTCCTAATAAACCTGCCATATATATATACATATATATATATGTATATATGTATTATATATATATACATATATATGTATACATATATATGTATACATATATACATATGTACATATTATATATATACATATATATGTATACATATATATGTATACATATATACATATATGTATATATGTATTATATATATATATACATATATATATGAATGGAGGATGCAGAAAAAGAGGTGTATATATGTGTATGTGTATATGTATATATATATACACACACATATACGAAAGAGGTGTGTGTATATATATATATATATATGTTCTGCGGGGAGCATGCAGAAAAAGAGGTGTGACACTGGGGAGTCAGGTATGAGTTCAGGTGTAGACATACTGATGCAAAATGCTGAGTTTATTTATAATGGCTACATAAGTTGCTGTGGGGCCCAGCGTGGAGCAAGGAAGGGTAGGCAATAACAAGACTGGCTCTGTTTTCAGGTTTGTCTCACAACCTGCAATGCAAGATAAGGATTTGGTATAGAGCCTAAGTGTACTGAGGATGGTTTTGATCTTAAAGTGAACACTTAAACTTATAAAGCAAACATGAGATGGTTTTCCCAACAAAATATGGTATCTTCAAAAAAGGAGCCATCACACAGATGCCACCTACAGGCCAGTTCGCCAGTGCCAGGAAGCACTTTTTTTTTTTTTAAATCAGCACTCTTCCATCAACAGCTGTTTTTAGATGACAATTAAGGAAAAGATATGTATGCCCTTTTAAAATTCAGTTGCTGCTCAAGCTTCATCGTACAGTTGACCCTTGAACAACATGCTTTTGAACTTTATGCTTCCACATGGATTTTTTTCTATCTGTGCGTTTCCAAATGCATAGATTCAACCAATTGGGGATGTTGGTTGGTTGAATTTGAGGTTGTGGAACATGTGTGAGATTATTTTCATGTGGGCTGGTATCCCTAAGCCCATGTTGTGCAAGGGTCTACTGGATATTCCCATCCCTTGGAAGATTAATGGAAGCAAAACTAACATTTAATCTATAATTAGATTGCATACTTATCATTTAAACTGAAAGTGTTTTTATAACTTAAGACAATGCTGTCATATTAAATGCAAAAACAGGGCCTCCCCGGTGGCACAGCGATTGGGCGCTGGGTTGCGAAGCTGCCCGCAGCCTCTGTAGCGCCGGTTCGATCCCCGGCTGCTCCCCAGCCACTCCCCGGCCACCGGAGGAGGGTCCCACATGGCGCGCAGACCTCTCCTGCCACCCGCTGCTCCCCTCAGCAGTGTACCTCGGTCCTTCTGCCTGCTCTGCTCCCCACTCCGGTGAATTCTCTCACCTTCCAGCACTTCTGACTGTGCCCAGTGCTTGTATAAATAAATAAATCTTAAAAAAAAAAATTAAAAAAAACACTGCAAAAACATGTCTGGATATGAAATAGAAACTCTGTGGACCTTGGGGGTGGGGGAAAGACAACCATTAACTTCCCCAAATCACTGAGCATAGTGATGTAACGAGTGCTTCATGAGTACTTTTTGTTTAAAGGTCTGCAAACCACTCAAAATGGCCGATTTTATGCCATCTCTGCACGGTTCAAACCATTTAGCAATAAAGGGAAGACTCTGGTGATTCAGTACACAGTGAAACATGAGCAGAAGATGGACTGTGGAGGGGGCTACATCAAGATCTTCCCTGCAGATGTGGATCAGAAGAAACTGAATGGAAAATCCCAGTATTATATTATGTTTGGTGAGTTCACATAATACAACGTAACCATTTCTATAGGATCCTTAGATTGGGACTCTGCTAATGTAGTATACTGTTTGAGTATATCTGATCAAAGGTTATTTGTACTGTTAAATATAATATTATAAAAAGGCAACTACCATTCTGATGTAAATTCTTTATTCGACATTAATGTAGCCCAGGTATTTTGAATACCGCATGAGTTAGCAGATCTTATCCCTGGGCCAAATTGCAGCCTGTGTATGTGTATGTTATGGCCTATGAGCTGAGAATGAGTGTTACTTTTTTTAAGTAACCGTCAAAACCAAAATAAGGATAATATTTTGCGATATATGAAAATTACATGAAATTCAAATTTGTGTGCTCAAAGGAAGCCTTACTCCACTCACTGACATCTTTTTGACTGCTTGAAGGGGCATTAAGAGGTAAATAGTTGTGGGCCTCCCTGGTGGCGCAGCGGTTGAACGCTGGGTTGCGAAGCTGCCTGCGGCCTCTGCGGCGCCAGTTCGATCCCTGGCTGCTCCCCGGCCACCGGAGGAGGGTCCCACATGGCGCGCAGACCTCTCCTGCCGCCCGCTGCTCCCCTCAGCAGTGTACTTCGGTCCTTCTGCCTGCTCTGCTCCCCACTCTGGCTCTGGTGAATTCTCTCACCCTCCCGTGCTTCTGACTGTACCCAGTGCATGTATAAACAAACAAATAAACAAACAAACAAACAAATAAATAATACATGCCTCTTTAAAAAAAAATAAAAAAAAAAGAGTTAAGTAGTTGTAATACAGACCATGTGACCTACAAATCCAAATATGTTTGCTATCTGGTTCATTACAGAAAACCAGAATATATAAAATGTG